ATATATCATTCTACTTTTTTCTTGCTTGCGTGAGAATCATATGGGAGATCTGTTGTGATTCTTGTGGTTTTTCCCTTGTATTTGAGGTTTTTCTTCTTTCTTGATACTTCAAGCAGTCTATTTCTGTCTTTTGGTTTTACCATTTTAATAACAATGTTTCTTGGTGGGGCTGGAGCAACAGCACAGCAGTAGTGCATTTGCCTTGCACGCAGCCAACATGGCCAACGCAAGTTTGATTCCTCCGCCCCTCTCGGAGAGCCTGGCAAGCTACCGAGAGTATCTCGCCTGCATGGCAGAACCTGGCAAGCTACCTGTGATGTATTCAATATGCCAAACACAGTAACAAGTCTCATGATGGAGACGTTACTGGGCCCGCTCGAGCAAATCGATGAACAATGGGAAGACAGTGACAATTGACAATTGTTTCTTGGTGACTTTTTGTTTTAGTTTCCTTTTTTTGTATTATATGAGTCTCTTCAAACTATGCAAAAACTTCCCTCCATAACCTGGGAAGGTACTTAGTTATTCTTCCACCAGTAATTCTTCTATATTCTCCTCTCCTTCTGGTGTTCCCATAAGTTGTGGAGTATTCTTGCTGTTATCCATCAAGAATCTTAGGGCCAGAGCTATAGTATAGTAGAGAGGGTGATTGCCTTGCATACGTAACCGGGGTTTGATCCCTAGCATCCCATATGGTCCCCTGAACATAGAAGTTACCAGTAACCCCTGAGAATCGCCGGGTGTTTCCCAATCACAACATAAAGTCAATAATCAGGGCTGGAGCGATAGCACAGCGGGTAGGGCATTTGCCTTGTACACGGCTGACCTGGGTTCGATTCCCAGAATCCCATATGGTCTCCCGAGCACCGCCAGGAGTAATTCCTGAGTGAAGAGCCAGGAGTAACCACTGTGCATAGCCGGATGTGACCCAAAAAGAAAAAAAAGTCAAGAATCTTACATTATCCTCTACTGGTTTCTCTTTTCTTTGAAACTTCATCATTGCTGATGATTAGTATCTTGCCTTCAGTGTCACTGATGTGGTTCTCCTCTTTGCCAGGTAAATTCTGCTACTGTGGCTTGCTATTATTTTCCTCAACTCCTTCAGTTCATTTTATATGGACTCTTTGACACTCTTAATCAATACTTCCTTGAGATGATTGAATTTCTCTTCTAGTGCTTGTTTGATTTCCATTGCCATTACATAAGTATTGATTTAAGGCCCTCCTCTATGAGGCTTGAGATTTTTGTTGAACTTAAAGATTTTCCTGGATTTCCCCTGTCTGGAATTGGAATTGCAGATGATTTCCTTTGTCTACCCATTAATCTTTGATTTTGTGTGCATGTGTGTGAGTGCTGTTAGTTCAGCTTTAAATTCCCAGTATCTGAGAATTGATACAATTTGTTATTTTACATTGATCTGATTTACTGTTTTAAGAGACTTCTGTTATGACATGTTATTCTTACTATTCTCATGTCCCTGAGTGGGCATTTCAATTGACAAGCAGGGGTAAATCTAGTTACTTCTGCTTAGATAACAGGGTTGCTGTGGAAGTATTCTGACACCTAATTGTGAACCTTCTGTTACCCACCAGCCTGGGCATTAGGGGAGTTATTTCATGATTTTGGATATAAGTCTGCCCATTAGGGTCACTTCTCGCTGCTTGGGTTTAGATGCGGGGGTGGGGGGAGGCAGGCAGTGATGCCCCAGGATGTCCCTGGGTATGATATATGTTATCATTGATACTATCTATTTTCATGTTTTGTTTCTTCATATACTACAGAAGAAAGAGTTAATTTGCTATTTGTTCTCCTCCCTCTGTTTTGTTTCACTTAGCATGTTACTCTTCCAAATATCATCCAAATTGCAATGATCAGCTCGATTTTGTCTTTTCTAATGTGTACTTAGTGTTCCATTGTGTAAGCACACAACATCTTTATCCATTTACCTATCTCTTGACATTTGGGTTGTCCACAGCTAAGTATTCAGTTCGTGCTGCAGTGAACATAGCTTCACATTTTTTTAAAATTAAAGTTTTGAAGTTATATGCCAAGAAGTAGAATCTCTTTTTCAGTTGGGAATTCTAGTTTTCACATTTTGACTATCCCTCCACATTGTATTCTATAAAGTCTGAATTATACAACATCTTACCAACAGTGAATAAAGTTCACTTCATTCCTGTGAAAACGCTGGTAATTTTCAGTCTTTTTTGATATATGTCATTCTCATGGTATGAGATGATATCTCACTGTCTTTTTGGCTTGCATTTCCCTAATAATAAGTGATGATGAAATGCAATACCTTCCACCTTCTTTTTTTCTAAGAATGGCTTGAGTTTTATTATTCCATACATATTTTATTAGAGTTTATTATATAAGTTCTTGAAGAATGTCCTTTGAATTTTAGTAAATATTACATTGAATCTATATAATGGTTTTATATGGATGATGATTTTGATATGTTAATTTTTCCAGTCAAACATGGTGATATTTTTGCATTTCCTGGTGTTATTTTACTTTCAATGACTTTTTCAAATTTTCAAGTTATAATTTTTTAAGTTATATCTTTGTTAAGTTGATTCACAGCTATTTTCACAGCTATTTACTGTTTTTTAGACACTTTTTATGGAGTCTTTTATTTCTTTTCTAGTGCATTGGTATATAGAAATTTTTGTGCATTGATTTTGTATTTTTTTTTTGCTTTTTGGGTCACACCCAGCAATGCACAGGAGTTACTCCTGGCTCATGCAGTTAGGAATTATTCCTGACTGTGCTTGGGGTACCATATGGGATGCTGGGACCCAGGTTGGCTATGTGCAAGGCAAATGCCCTATCCGCTGTGCTGTCACTCCAGCCCCTGATTTTGTAATTTCTACCTTGCTATTTTGGTTTATTTTTCTAAGACATTTTCAGTAGTCTTCAATGTATATTATCATGTCATTTGAAAATAATGACATTTTTACTTCTTTTCCAATTTAGATCTTATTCATTTGTTTTTCTTGCTAATTGTTGTGATGAGGATTTCAAAAGCTATATAGAAGAATTGAAGAAAATGTGGATATCTTTGCCTTGTGCCTGATCTCTGGGAGAAGACTTTCAGTTATTCACCATTGTGTATGGTGCTAACTGTGGGTTTGTTATAAATCATGTTACAGTCTTGATAAATGCACTTTTAATAACTATTCTTTTGAGCGTTATTATTTTTATCATTAACGGATATTGAATCTTCTTAAAATCTTCCTATGCATCGACTAAGATAATAATAATATTTTAATCTTACCTTTTGTCTATGTAATGCATTATATAAATTGATCTGCATGTATTAAAGTCTCTTTCATCCCTGGAATAAATTCCAGTTGATTGTGACATTGACTCCTTTTGATATATTGTTGGATTTGTTTCATTTTTTGTTTAGCAATTTTGCATCTATTTTCATAGCCTAAATTGTCAAGAATGTTTCCCTTAATACTGTTTTTATTGTGTACCATAGGTTCTGATAGTTTGTGCCTTCTTTCTTACTCATTTCAAGAAATCTTTTAATTTTATCTTTTATTTTCTCTTTCATCCAGTAGTTATTCAACAATATGTTGTCCTGTTTCAGATGTTGGAGCTTTTCCCAACTTTCACCTTTTTCCGGTGGGGGGAGTGTTGGGTCACACTTTACATTGCTCAGGGTTTACTCTTGGCTCTGTGCTTAAGAATCACTCCTTGTGGGACTTGGAGGAGCATATGGGGTGCTGGGGATAAAACAAAGTTGGTTTGTGCAATCAAGCCCCCCGCCACTGTGCTATATTTCTATCCCCTCAACTTACTTTTTATTCTTACCTTCATGCATTGTCGTGTGAAAATATATTTGATATGACTTCTATTTTGGTGGTTTTATTGGCACTTGAATTATGTATAATAATTTCTACCCTGAAGAATATTCCATGATACATCCTTCCAGCCTTTAACTCTGAACCTTTATTATTGTGAGAATTCAAGTGTGTCTCTTGTAATCAGTAGAATCTTAGATTTGGATTCTTGATTCATTCAGCAATCCTATTCCTTTTAATATAAGATTCCAATCCCCAACATTTTGTTTGTTTGTTTTTGGGTCACACCTGGTGACTCCCAGGAGTTACTCCTGGTTCTGTGCTCAGAAATTACTCCTGTCAGCTCTGGGGACCATATGGGATCCCAGGAATCAAACCCAAGTCAACTGCATGCAAGGTAGATACCCTACCCACTGTACTATCGCTCCAGCCCAACCAATCCCTAACATTTAAAGAAATTATTTTTCTATATTTCAGTTTTGCCTTTTTTCATTTGTTTCTTTGCACTTTAAATTTAAATGTTAAATGCAACAAATTTCTTCACCTACTGTTTTCATGAGAATGTTTCTATCCCTCCCTCAAATTTGAGCCCTCAGGGGCTTCTGTGGTACTCATATAGGGCTCACCTGAAATGTTTTCTCATCTTTAGTTGTGATGCTTGCCAGGGACCACTCACTCTTGTCAAGTTCATACACACCTAGGTGCTTTGCCTCAAGATCACATACTTATTTGTAACAGTAGGAGTTTCCAATAGTAAAGCCACCAAGATCTCTATCTAAACATTTGCATGCAAGGTAGACTTTATCCAAGGCTATACCCCAGAACCATACCTAGTGATGTTTTCATGGCCACTCCATTCTCAGAAATGTTCAAGTTCCACTCCAGAGAACACTAGTTGTGTTTGGGATGGGGGCATTTAGTTCTGGGAATAAAACCCAGGACCTCACATATGCGAGTCATGAGGTCTACACTGCTCCCTTATATTCCACATAGGAGCAAGATCACGAAGCTTTTGTCTTTTTCTTTCTTACTCACTTCATTTAGCATGACACCCTTCAGTTTCATTCAAGTTGCTTCAAACTGTAAGATTTCACCCTTTCTCTTATCTATGTAGTGAGTAGCTTTCCATTGTGTGTACATACGACAATTTTTTTACCCACTTGTCTGCACTTTTTTTTAAAATTTCAGTTCGGCAGAAAGTTCTGGAGAGACAAAACCATGAGTTGGCATGGCCAGGAAATGGACCATTCAAGCTAACTCTCAAGTTACCTACAGTAGCAGATGAAGTCTATAATGAGGGGCAAATTATAACAAAGGTAAGAAAAAGTCTAGGAGTTCTCAAGGTATTTGGGATAGAATCCATCGAGAAAAATAGAGTGTTATATGAAGTATAATCTGGAGTGATAAATGCAACTAACAGTCATGGAGAAAGGAAAGGTTGTGTTGGGGTAGATATTTGTAATAATGAATGAAAGGTAACTCTTTCTTTAATATTAGATACTTTTAGAAAAATCAAGTTCAGTGTACAATAATGGTTATTTGAAATATAAAACTCAGGATCTGCTTTATCTAAGTGCTTTCTAACCTAACTTTGTTTCCCTCTTACATCATTCAGAGAGGGTAGTGATTTATACTGCTTGTAAGTATGAATTTGTAAACTTGTATAGTAATAATATCAGTCTTATTGGATTATTGGGTTGATTTAAAGATTAAATTAGAAGACCTCAAGGTAAAACATAAGACTTGGTGATTTTTAATTATAAACACTTAGTAAATGTTAAGTGGAATAAGACTGTTTGCTCGAGCCAGCGGTCCCAGTAACGTCTCCATTGGAGATTTTGTTGTTACTGTGTTTGGCATATCAATACGTCACGGGTAGCTTACCAGGCTCTGCCATGCGGGCGAGATACTCTCGGTAGCTTGCCGGGCTCTCCTAGAGGGGCGGAGGAATCGAACTCGGGTCGGCCATGTTGGCTGCGTGCAAGGCAAACGCCCTACTGCTGTGCTATCTCAGCTTAATCACTTAATCACTTAACTTCCCGTTAGTCGTCGATTTGCTCGAGCGGGCGCCAGTAACGTCTCCATTTGTCCCTGTCGCGTGCTAGTGTAGCCCAATGGCATCTCTTCGCTCCGGGAACATGGAGGGCCTCAAACCGATCGTTCATGACCTTGACAAAGAAGTCTGACCATCTGGTAGGTGGGCGGCCACGCGGTCTCTTGACATCCCGTGGAATCCAATCAGTAACAGCTCTAGTCCAACGGTCGTCTTTAAATCTCATTACGTGACCAGCCCATCTGATTTTCGATACCTTGGCATATGAGACTATCTCAACTATTTTTTCTAATTTAGATCTTAACCAATAACCAAACCACTTGGGTTTCTGTTATTCATTTGTACTAGTGACTTTAGATCAGCAAGTATATGCCAGATGCAAGTAGAGGTAAGATAAATAGCATCACTGCCAGAACAGTTCATTTCATATTCTAGAGCTACAAAATTCTAAATATGTATCAGGAACATTTTTCATGAAAAGATAGTATTCATGATTTAATATTGCAACTTTTGTGTTTGGGTTTCAGGAATCCAAGTCCAAAGACCGGGTCAAACAACCAGGTAACGTCTTCTTCACCAGAAAGTTTCACTTTTATTCAAGGTGACATTGTGTAGTTCTTCCCCCTCTTCCAACACATCTTGGACTATACCATTTATACACAGCATGCCTTGCAGGGTGCTAACACTGGGGTTTTCCCTGGAGCAAGTGGGGTTTAGGTCAGCAGAAAGAGAATAGTATTGCCATTGAGGAGTTTTTCTGGATTTGCGATTGAGGAGAAAATAACATGTTTCTGGAGATAGAAAAAAACAATCTTTTTTTTTCCTTTTTGGGTCACACCCGGTGCTGCACAGGGTTTACTCCTGGCTCATACACTCAGGAATTACTCCTGGTGGTGCTCGAGGGACCATATGGGATGCTGGGAACTGAACCTGGGTAAACGAAGACATAAAACAACAGTTGATATTCTTTGAGATTAAGTGACTTTCTGAGAGCAGGTGTGAAGGGTGCTTTCCTCTGTAGTTAAGTTTCTTTTATAATGGAGAAGAAACATGCTGAATGTGAGGCAGAAAAAGGAATGCACATATTCAGCTTAGGGATTGGAATTCCTACAAATTTTTGTAAGTATTTCCCTCCAAAATATAAATTGTTTTTAGAACATATTTAGACTTCGCTGTTTTCTCTTTTTGAAAAATAGTATGAGGATGATAACTGTCTTTCCTCAACAAGCAACAATATATGTAAATATAGATTGTCTCTTCTTATCATGGATATAATGTCAAATTATAAAGTATGCGTAGTTTTTTCAAACCCATGAGTTATATAAAATAACTTGTCTCTGTAGAGAAACCCTATCTTTTACTCTTTAGATATGGGATTGCAGGGGCCAGAGACATAGTACAGCATTTGCCTTGCACATGACTGACTTGGGTTCTATCCCCAGAACCCCATATTGTCTTCTGAGTCTTCCAGGAGTGATCCATGAGAGAAGAGTCATAAATAATTCCTGAGCACAGTAAGGTGTGGTCCAAAACTAAAAAAAAAAACAGATATGGGACTGCATTATCCATTTCCAAGACTTATGATCATTCCTTCACCAATCTTTATCCGTTCTTCTAAAAATGTTTTGTGTGCTATACTATCAAGCTAAAGTTTGACTTTAATATGTATTTGTGTTTTAACATTTATAGCTGAACCACTTCCTGCTTTTAGAATTTAGTCAAGTATGAGTTTCTTGGGCTGGAGCGATAGCACAGCGGTAGGGCGTTTGCCTTGCACGCAGCCAACATGGCCGACCCGAGTTCGATTCCTACGCCCCTATCAGAGAGCCCGGCAAGCTACCGAGAGTATCTCGCCCGCACGGCAGAGCCTGGCAAGCTCCCGTGACGTATTCAATATGCCAAACACAGTAACAACATAGTCTCCAATGGAGACGTTACTGGGCCCGCTCGAGCAAATCGATGATCAACGGGAGGGCCTTTTACTTTTACTTTACTTATGAGTTTCTTATAGTTTTCGAAATTTTTCCCTAGTCCTTCCTTAACTAACTTGTTAGCCCTATTTCAGATTTGCTTAAAACTCCAGTGTGTTCTCAACAGCAATTCAGCTCCAATCCATGAGTGGTCTTTTAATTTTCCTAGAAAATTTAGACCCACTTACTAACAAATTGCAAGTGACCTGACTTCTAACAACCTAGGAAGTTGGATGATGTCAATTAAGGTATTTTAGTTGGTTCTCTTCAGAGTTCAGGAGGAGTCGCAATGTTAAAAGTTGTCCTACAAAGAATCCTGAAAATGGTTGTAAAGGTATCATTCAGATATCACTCATGTCTGAAGTAGTTGGATGAAATCTCAACACTTTGTATTTCTATTGTTCACAGTACTATCTACCTCATTTATCTGTACTTAAATTAATATCTTAATATCTTCAATATCTACTCTGACACTTTCTTCTTCATTTACGAGAAAACTTCCAACCTTTTTAGTTCTCTTTATTGACTTCTGGCATTTTTGGTGATTCTCTTTGAGCTAACCAAAATCCTTGTGATAAATTCCCTAAGAGTCATGGGTTATAAAACTGGAAAGGCTCTTCAGGTTCACATATTCCATATAAGCCTTTTCCCCACCCCCAGTCCATGTTTAGAATAAAGATACATGCCTGAGTCACCAATCAGAGGGTCAGAGTCAGGGCTAAACTCTAGCATCACCCCTAGTACATATGTCTTTCTTGTTTGTTATACTTCCCATTGATAACTCTCTTACATTATTATTTAATCCTTAACTAGTTTTAAATATACTGAAGTCTTTGTGATGTATTACATAGCACATAACAGGAGTATTTGTCAAAGTGCATAACAAACAATCCTTGTGTCACAGGTCAGCGTGTTCTATGGGGAAGATGACTATGGGTGAGTGAAGGGGGGCATATGACTGCCAAACACAGTTACTGAATCGAGGCTTCTTTCGTCCTTTAACATTCTTATCTCTGATTATGTGATCTACAATGTTACTGCAGGTAACAATGGAGGATTATGGAAAGGAGATTCTTATTATCCAGGCTTTAAAGTAGAATTCACTTTTTCAATGCATATTCCGTGTACCACGTGTCCTGGGCTAGGGAAATTTAACTAAAGAATGTCTGGGTGATGTAGTCTGGAATTTTATTTTTGCTATAATAAAATTTTGCATACATTAGTTCTTTTCTTTTTTTCATCTGTTGTTCCTTTCGAATATTATTAAGGAACCAGAGAGATATGACATTGCTAAGGCAATTGTCTTGCATAAAACTGACCTTAGTTCTATCTCTGGCACCACATTAAGGTCCCCTAGGCATCACCATGAGCACAGAGCCAGGAGTAACCACTGAGCACAGGGCCAAGAGAAAGCCCTGAGTATTTCTGGGTGTGATCCCAAAACAACAAAGGATATTGGTAATTTCCTTACCTAATTTTTTGTAGACCCCTCTCCACTTTCAGTTCTTTGAATGTAATTGGTGTGTCAATAAATAAATGCTATGGGATTCAGTATGAAGATAACAGAGGTAGGATGCTTGCCTTGCATGAGGCCAACCTGGTTTTGATCCCAAGATCACATATGGAACACCAAGCCCACCAGGAGTGACCCCTGAGTGCATAGCAAGGAGCAAGCCTAAGCAACACTGGGTGTGGCCCCAAACCAATAAAAATATAGATACAGATATATAGATATATAGAGAGATATATATTATAGGTGCTCAAAATATATAAAGATCATATCATATATATCATGCTTCACTGAGAGACTAGCATCATGAAGGACTAGCCATATACAGATGTATAACTCACTAATGGAAATGTTATAGTGGATCTGACTAAGTCCCTATTCTGTGGACAGCATTTAAGAATAAGACAATTGGCATATGTTTTAGGTATTAAAGCACTTTATTTTACAACATATTAGGGTACCTCTCTGCAGGATGATTCTTCAGTGGAAGTTGCAGCAGCAATAACAACCTGTGTCCTCCACAGCAACCCCCTCCCCACTACTCTTTTCTTCTGTTCTCTTCCTGTTCTCCCTCTCCTCCATGTTTATTAATTCCTTCTTCATCTCATCTCCCCTATTCTCTTCTTTTTTCCTCCTCTTACTTCCTCTTCTCTCTTCTTATCTATACCCATTTTTATATGTATGGGCACACACACACACACACAGTGTAAAAACCCTTGGACTTAGTCCCTTAGTTATTTCTGCTGTCTGGTTACACCCTACCTGGTCATCCAGTTGGAAAGATCAATCTTACGTAAATGAGGGTTGTTTTGATGATTGTAGCATGACCAATCTGATCACACATGCTTGTATAAGGGTTTGCATTATCACATATGCCCATATGCAAATAGTACCTTGCAAATTGCACTGATAATCTTTGTAAATAAGGGTGTGTGTGGTGATTATGGAACAACCAATCAGATTGCATTGCCCTTATAAGGATTTATAAAACAATTACATGTAAATAAGGAATTGTAAGAGGACACATTGGATGTCTTGATAATCTGATCCATCGATTCCCATTTTCTTTGTAACAGAGCAAGCCTGGCCGTGTGACTATTATTCAGTGTTTTTGATGGATACATAAAAACACCGAATTTAACCTTCAATGTATATTCTTTAGTCATTCACTACAAGTATTCTTTCTTCTCTTCATTGTTAAGAACTTAGTCCTTATCAGAATTTAAGAGGTAAATTTGCTGTGTTATTCCATCATTGGAATATCCTTTTTCTTCCAATGACTGTAGCAGAAAGTCTCTAATTAAACAAAGTCATGGAGTTATCAACTATGCAAGATGTACCAGAACTACAAGAATGAGTAAACATGTTTAGAATTTGAGCTCAATGATATGGTGCTAAGACCAAAGTATATTTCAGGGACTATAAGAAAGATAAGGGAGTTTTCTCTACATTTGGCAATGTAGAGAAATATGTGATAAAGTTGAACTTAATATTATTAGTCAAATACATTTTTTATTTTTAAGTAAATTGAATAAATAGCCTTTTAATACCTGATTTTGAGTTACCCAAGTAGTTGAAAGGGAGAGAGCAGCAGGTATTTTGAGAATTTATTTTGCTAAGGCCTTCATGATTGGATATAACTCTATTTAACTTTCTTTTTTTTTTCTTTTTGGGTCACCCCCAGCACTGCACAGGGGTTACTCCTGGCTCATGCACTCAGGAATTACTCCTGGCGGTGCTCAGGGTCCATATGGGTTGCTGGGACTTGAACCTGGGTTGGCCACATGCAAGGCAAACACCCTACCTGCTGTGCTATCACTCCAAGACTATTTAACTTTTTGTGTCCATAAAATCAGATGTGACAGGAGAATTGGATACAACCCACTCTGACAATAGAAGATCAGAAAATACTGAAGACACCACAAAAGAACCTCTTTCTCCTTTGGTTGTGTTTGAAAATCTCATGAACAATGTGAATGATACAATTTTGACGTTATTAGTGGAAAATGTAAGTGGCCTGTCCAGTGATGACTTTCATATAGAAATAATACAAGATTTTAAAGTTGCTGTGGTGACCTTTCAAAAACACTTAGGTAAGATCACTTCTTTTGCAAGTTCTCTTTGTACCATACCTTGGGATTTTGTTTGAATGCATCAGAAAGTTTCACTCATTTAGCAGCTTATTTTTAAAAAACCTTCCAAACAGTGTAGTTGCTTTTTAATATTGAAGACAGAATGATTTAATTTTGGAACAAACTTATGTTGTGTTAATTGATTAATCTTTACTGTGTAAGTTGTGTAGATGTGTGTATATGAGAGAGAGAGAGAGAGAATAGATTCTGTGTGTATGAGAAAGAGAAAGAATACATTCAAACAGATATTAAGGTTATTTAAATGATTCTAACTGAATTACCATCATTTATTTTTGTGCTATATACCTCTGGGAGAAGTAAATATTGATCTGTGCCACCAAATCACTTACTGGACAATAACAACAACAACAGAAAAACCCCACTTATATAGTGTTTACTGTGAACCATGTACCACATTAATATTTTGAGATTATTGTTACTATGATTACCTCTCCCCCATTTTATAATGGAGGAACCAGAAGCAAGCAAAAGCTAACTAGATTTGAACCCAGGTAGTACCTGTCCACAGCTTTTGCTCTTATCTCCTCTTCCATAAATAACCTTAGCACTAGTGTTATATTCCATATGTAGGATGAGTAATCTAAGCATGCCTAGAATGAATGCTCATTAGATCATTATGGGGGTCTGCGGCAATTTATAAGACTCAAAGAATCCTCTCCAGAGACAGGAACATTTTCTAATTTCAGGCCGTGGCTGAGCAGTGTCCATGGCAGTGGAATGACTTATAGCCCAATTACAGAGTCATAGTCCAAAGTGCTATGTTTAGTTTCTGCCCTTTATTATTACTATTTTTATCTGTAAAAATGGGGCTACTGACACCTTCCTAATCCAGTTTCTGTGGATATTAAGTGAGATAGTGTTTGAAAATTTTTCATGAAGTGAATACCTACCTGAGATATGATAAGGTCTCAAAACTTGGATATATTCTTATTTCAAATTTGTAAGCATTTCTGACAAATAACTACCCTATGGACTAAATGAATGGATGTGGTTTTGTTCATTGATTAAAAATCTTGAAAAAATACCATGTGTGAGGTACTTGTTGAGGTGCTATTGATACAGAGATGAATAATTCCTGATTCTTGTACCTGAGAAAATTGTATGGGAATTAACAATAAAAGTGTAAGAGGAGGAACTGCCAACGCAGGAGAGATAGTACATTGGGTAGGGCATTAACTTTACACACAGCCAACCTGGATTTGTCACTAGCATCACAAATACTTCCCAAAGTCCTACCAGGCGTGATCCCAGGTGTGACCCCCCAAAAATTGTAAATAAAATAGAAAGAGCTGCCTCTTCAGCTGTGAACAGCAGGTTTTGGAGGTAAGAAATAAGGGGTCCCAACATGGTGATTTGGTTTTGCCTGCTCTCTTCTATGATGATTATTCTCTGGCAGCAACAGATCACCAATACACTGTCCTGTTTCAGGCACTGATGTTTTCTCTGTAGGAAGTGTTTCCGCCACTGATCTATCCTGTAAGTTTGTCTTTATCTTTAGATGCTCAGGCCATTTACTATGAGCATCCTGCTTCATTCCCAGGATAAGCCCTCCCCCTTCATTCAACCAGACAACAGGGAAATTATTTACTTTTCAGCCTTTCTCTCTCAGTATGGTGAACTTGCAAGGGTTTGTTACATTCTCCTCCCTTATCTACATCTTAGCAAATTCTGTGCTGAAACTTCTTTAGTCCATGATCAGTATGTATTAATTTGAAAGAGATAGATGGTTGGGTTAAGTCTTAAAGGTAGTTTAGGGTGGGATTAAAAAATGGAGAACTCTCTAAGATTGGCCATAAGACAAGGTGCCCATTCTCATCACTTCTATTCAATATAGTACTGGAAGTACATGCCATAGAAAATAGGCAAAAAAAAAAGATACTCAGGGCATCCATATAGAAAAAAACAAAGTCAAGCTTTCTCTATTTGCCAGTGACATGAAACTATTTTTAGAAAACCCTAAAGACTCCACAAAAAACACACAAAACAAAAAACAAACAAAGCCTTCCAGAAACAATAGACTTGTATTATAAAGTAGCAGGCTACAAAATCAACACAGAAAAGTCCATGGTTTTTCTATATGCAAATAGTGAAATAGAAGAGAAAGAAAGGGGAGGTGGAATTCATTTACAATTGAGAATCAAGTACCTAGAAATCCCTCCCATGGGTTGGGTGGATAAACCTTGTCAAATGGCAATATTCCTCAAAGTACTATAGATATTCAATACAGTTCCTATAGGACACCTAGGACATTTTTCAAAGAAAAAGATCAGACACTCCTGAAATTTATATGGAACAATAACCCCACCCTAAGTAGCCAAAGCAATTCTTGGGAGAAATAAGATGTACCTTCCCCAACTTCAAACTATACAAAAAGGTGGTAGTAATTAAAATAGGGTAGTGCTGGAATAAGGACAGACCTGCCCATCAATTAAATAGAATTGAAAGTACAGAGACAGATCCTCAGTTATATGGACAGCTAATATTTGATAAAGGGACACAAAATATAAAGTGGAGCAAGGGAAGCCTCCTTATGAGTAATGTTGGGAAAAATCTGGTCTGCTACATGCAAAAAAGGAACTCAGACCCCTTTAAATAGCCATGCATAGAAGTCAAACCAAAATGAATTGAAGATTTCAATATCAGAACTTATTCAGTAAGATACATAGAGGAAAACATAGGCAGAAGTCTCCAGGACATTGAAGCTAGAGGCATCTTTAAGAATGCAACATCATTGGCCAAAAAATGGAAGCAAAAATATTACTAATAAAACTACATTAAATTATGAAGCCTCTTTATCTTAAAGGAAACAATAACAAGAATACAAAGAGACACCACAGACTGGGAAAAACTATTTGCCAACCATTCGTCTGACAAAGGGTAAATATCCAACATAAATAAAGCACTGGTAAAAGTTTACAAGAATAAAGACATTCAACCCCTTAAAAAGTGGAGCAAATAAATAAATCCAAACTTCCTCAGACAAGAAATACAGATGGGCAAAAGATATATGAAAACATACTCTGCATCACTAATTCACTTGGGAAATGCAAACCAAATCAACAATGAGATATTATTTTATGCCAGAGTCTGGCATCTAAAGAACACACATCAAAAAGAACAACAGCAACCAGTTGTTGGCATTTATGCAGGGGGAAAAGGGACCCTCGCTCACTGTTGGTGAGAATATTTACTGTTCCCGCTTTTTTTTAAAACTATGGAAGTTCCTCAAAAGACTAGGAATTGAGTTTCCATACAACCCAGCAATTCCACCCCTCAGAATATATCCCAAGGGCCCCCAAACAGAATACATCTGCACTCCATGTTCATTGCAGCACTATTCACAGTAGCTGGAAACCACCCAAATGTCTGGATATAGAAACTGGGACAGAGAGCTACTTGGCATCAGGACAGCTGCACTAAATAGCCTTGAAGCATCACCATGCCACAAAATGAATATATTGAGTTATGTCATAAGTGCTATGGATATTGTTTGGATTACATCTCAAAGAGAAAAAAAGAAGTAGAGAGACTCATGAATGTTCAAAAAAATCAAAAAAAAGAAAAAGTTTTTTTTTTTTTTTTTGGTTTGAAAGCTAGGCTCTACCATTAATAGTGCCATGCTGAGAAAATGAAATGAAAAAGACTATTGAGACACATGAAAAGAGAACTACAAAACAAAAGAATGATAAAAAGACTCCACAAAGAGCAATGTCTGAGTATCTACTGGACAGAGAGAAACAGTCCTGAACTAAAGTACTTTTCAATATGATGAAACAAAAATGAAAAGAGAAAGCAGGAAAATGACCAAAAGTCATTTTCTGACCAAAGTTTGTGTCCAGGGAGAAACAAAAGTATTAAAAGTTATGTAACTTATGGAAGCAATGACGGTTACTCCCACAAACCAACCCCAGCACCAACATGTAAGCTCTATCACCAACCTTGCTTCAGAGACCCATAAATAAATCTTGAAAGAGATCAAAAGCTGTAATTAATCTCGAACCCAGACATGGCTGAACAGACCACGGTAAATCCAGAGGGGGAAGGTTAGCCTGGTGCCCACCCAAGCAGAGCCCCCTACAGCCGTTTGCTTCCACAATCCAAAATCACCGCCATACCCCCAGCCTGACTCCACCGTCTCAGTATGGATCTCAGTGAAACATAATCTGCTGAAAATTCTGGTATTTTGGTTGTATGACCGAAATCTCCAGGCTTTCTCATGGTTGGGATGGGCTACATCTACTTCACCTCCCTGTACTTCTGGAAGTCTTGGAAGTCATATCCACACCTCAAAACTGCTACTCAATTGAAAATTAGCTTTTCATCCAGTTGAAAAACTACATTACTGTCCTGATAAAAATATCAAATGCCCTGAACAAAAATCATGAGCTCTTGGCACCTGTATTGCAAACCACAATGTACAAAAGGAAAAGGACAGAGAGAAAGCAAGAAGGAAAGTGCCTCCCATAGAGGGAGGCTGGGGATGGGGATTGGGGAGTTGGGGGATGGTGGTAGGGAAACAGGGCACATTGGTGGTAGAAAAACATACACTGGTGGAAGGATGGGTGCTAGATCATTGTATGACTGAAACTAAATTATGAACAGATTTGAAATGATCTATCTTACAGATACCCAATTTAATTTTTTTTAAAAAAGTTATTTGAAAAGTAAAGAGAAAGAAAGAAAGAAAGAAAGAAAGAAAGAAAGAAAGAAAGAAAGAAAGAAAGAAAGATGCATGGAAGAAGATGGTTAACGAAGTCTGCTTTGTGAGAGAATTTTTTTACACAAAAACTTCCTAAATATGAAGGGTTCATTAAATCAATGGGTTTACATTTCAAAAATGCCCATCTAAGACACTGTGAGCTGAAAGCCACTTTTAGACTGTCAATACTTGGTATAATTTGTCACTGTCACTGTCACTGTCCTCCCGTTGTTCATCGATTTGCTTGAGCGGGCCCAGTAACGTCTCCATTGTGAGACTTCTTGTTACTGTGTTTGGCATATTGAATTGTATAATTTGTAATCTTGTAAATTTGTAAACCGGAAGTCTATGTTGTTTGATATTAGTATGGCCATCCCTGCTTTATTGACATTGAAGCTAAAGGCATAGTTTTATGACCACTGACCAAACAAGTGGAAGCAAAGATAAATAAATGGGGCTACATTAAACTAAGATGTTTCTGCTCCTCAGAAGAAATGGTGACCAACATACAGATGTAGCCCATGGAATGGAAAAAATTATTTTCCAATGCCCATCAGATAAGGAGTTAATATTCAAGATATATAAGGCACCCGTAAAACTTTATAAGAAAAAAAAATCCAACCCCATCAAGAAATAGGGAGAAGAAATGAACAGAAACTTCCTCAAAGAAGAACTACAAATAGCCAAAAGGCTCATGAAAAAAATGCTCTACATAGCTAATCATCAGGGAGATAGAATCAAAGCAACAATGATATATCATCTCACACCACAGAGACTGGTGCACATCAAAAAGAACAAGAACAATCAGTGTTAGCACAATGCAGCTAAAAAGACATATAACCCAGTTAACCAAATTTTCAAAATAGCCAATGCAAGATATTAGAAGATTATGCATGCACAAAAGATTGGTTTGAAGTACAAAATAGAAAAATACATTTTGAAATAATAAGTTAGGTTAGAAAGTTTCGTTGACAAATTCTTAGATTTCATATTGTATCTGACCCTTAAGGAATGATCACTTAACCGGTTTTGCTGTAGCATCAAAGAGGATTTCTACATTTATCAGAAAATATTGTTAAACTAGCTTTTCCTTTACCAGTTGCACATCTATGTGAAATTGGATTTTTCCTTTCTTTTTTAAAGCTGGATTGTTAAATATATATTGACTAAAACAACATTCATGAGAGAAGTGACCTTCAGAATTTAGCAGACCTGTATTAAAACTTCTATTTAAGAAGGTTATGCCTTTTATTAGAGATATGCAAAAATGTAAAATAATGAAGAATTTAGCATTGATTTTTTACTGTTTCAGACATCATCTTTTAAATACACACAAATACAGTAAACCAATGCTACTATAACTTCTAATGAAATGAATTATTACATTGGTTCTAATGTAGTAATAAAAGTTTTTATTGTCTATTAATAAATATATTATAATTTATGTAAAATTATAATAATAACCCAATTGTTTAGTTTACTATATCTTAGTCAATTTGTATTTGCTCCCATAGATTATATTTACTCATAATATTCTTATTTCTTCTATTATTTTTGTTTGTAGACATCATAAAATTTATTGGTGATTGTGCCCAGAATGATAAAGCAAAAAAACTTCAACTTTCTCCACGACTTCTGGAAACTACAAAGATAATCAGGGTCGAAAACTTGCCACCTGGTATGGATGCCAAGACTTTAAAAGATTTATTTGAAAATCCTGAGAATGGAGGTGGAAGAGTTGCCAGCATTAAATGTTTTCCTGAAGAGAGCTCAGCTCTGATTGAATTCTTTGATAGAAAAGGTAAGAATTTTTAGGTCAACTTTGTAAACATTACCTAGAATAAGCTTTTAGTTGATCTTAACAGTTATCATTTTAGTTGATCTTAACAGTTATCAGTTAAATAGCATATTTAGCTTTTTTTTAATCTGTCATTGGAAATCCAACTAGCAACCTGTTCACATGGACAATGATCCTTAATGAGTCTATGATTCAACTGTACAGATGCAGTGTCAAGTTTTCGTTAGATGAATTGGGGGTTTTATTTTTTTTTTATTAAGTCACCGTGAGCTACACTTAACAAAACTTTTATGTTTGAATTTCAGTCACACAATGATCGAACACCCATTCCTCCACTAGTACACATTTTCCATCACAAATGTCCTTAGTATCCCTCCACATCCCACCCCCGTCCCACTATCTCTCTGGTAGACAATTTCTCTCTCTACTTATGGGCATTATGGTTTGCAATACAAATAATGAGAAACCATCATGTTTGGCCCTTTATCTACTTTCAGCCCACATCTCCCATCCCGAGCTGAATTGGTTTCTTAATTTTCAAAATGACTTTCTTTATATACTAAGAAATAAATGGGTAAAAAAATGTCAAGCTTTTGAAGAAGACTCATAAGTCTCTAGCTATGGTGGACTTAAAATATATAGTTCTTAGTGTAATTGAAATAACTTATTAAAAAAAGAGTTAATCTGTATTTTAGCAGTATACTTGGTAGACACTCTCATTCAACAAGATTAGGTAGAGAAATACTCTGAACTATACGTGGTTTTTGAGAAGTAACCATACTTCCTCTTTCACCTATGCAAATTATGTCCCATTTGAACTTGAGGGAAACACATCCAAGGATTTTGTAGAGAGTTGCTGGTGCAAAACAAGTAGTTAAGCTCACTTTGCACCTTAGAGAGTTTTCTAAGGTAAGGTGCAAAGTGAATTCTAAATATTTTACTGATGTTGAATTGAAGAAAATACTGTACTAGGGTGCTTGCCTTTCATATGCTGACCCAGATTCCAGGTCCAGTACCCCATATGGTTCCCCAATCCCTGCCAGGAGTATACCCTGAGCACCAATGCATGTACTATTCCCACAAAGAATATTTTATTTAAAATATTTTAGAGATTGTGAGGCAAGCTACCAAGAGTATCTTGCCCGCACGGCAAAGCCTGGCAAGCTCTCCGTGACGTATTCGATATGCCAAACACAGTAACAATTCTCACAATGTTACTGGGCCCGCTCTGGCAAATCGATAAACAACGGGAGTACCGTGATCATGACCGTGACTGATGGTCAGAGCTGAAGACTCATCAGTAGGGATTAGGGGAACAGACTATTCAGGAAAAGAAGGAATGTTGTGCCTAGAATTAATTGAGATCATAAAGTATGAGCCAGGACCATGTGGTATACTACCCACTTAAGGTAACTTATTATCTCGGTACATTTAAAAATCTACTTTCAAGTTCTTGAGTTGGGAAATGTGGATAAAGGAGATTTGAAATTGTATAAAAGATCTCATGTTTCTGGACAAGGGGCTAGAGAGAACTTTTGTTGTTTTCTTTTTAAGTCTTAAACATTCTGCACTAGGAGAGAGCAACATAAAATTCTCCAGCCTATAAGTTAGCATTCCATCGTGTTGTGGGCAAAGATAACTTCCATCATTTGGAGGGCCTGGAACATCTAAGTTTATTCCTAGAGTGTCTAAAATCCAAGGGTCAGTGGCTAATGGGAAAGATTTAATAAGGGTTCTTTAGGACCAGAGAACACATGTGAAGTGTAGAGACTCTCAAAGGTTCCCTCTGTCCTGCCCACTTGCATCATCTGACTGTTGAGCTCACCTTATCCCCTGTGCTCTCATTGCCTCTTCTCCACGATCTAGGATATGCAAACGTCCTTATGGGAACTTCTGTGATTTTTAAAAATATTTTTATTTCAGTGGTAGGGCATTTGCCTTGCACGCAGCCAACATGGCCGACCCAAGTTCGATTCCTCCGCCCCTCTCGGAGAGCCCGGCAAGCTACCGAGAGTATCTCCCCCGCATGGCAGATGGCAAGCTCCCCATGATGTATTCAATATGCCAAACACAGTAACAACAAAGTCTCCAATGGAGACGTTACTGGGCCCGCTCGAGCAAATCGATGATCAACGGGAGGGCCTTTACCTTACCTTTTACCTTTAATTTTTAAATTTAATTTTATAAAATTGTTCACAATAATCTATTACATTTAATACTCCAACACCAATCCCACCACAATTACACCACCCATAGTTTTAATGTTTTCACCCCTGACCCCCAAACCCTGCCCCCAAAGTGGACCTAAATCACCTATTTTGTATTGCTTGTTATGAATAATCCACTATAATTGATATGGGAACTTCTGTTTATATTCCATTTTAAGGACAAGGAAACAGTGGTACAGAGAGGCCAAAATAACCTCACTAATACTATATAGCTGGGAAGTGACAGAGATGGGATTTAAACTCTAGTAGACTGATCACATAGACACATAGACTAAACTCTTTTTTTTACATTTTAATTGAATCACTGTGAGATAGACCCTTACAAAGCTGTTCATGATTGAATTACTGTTCATGATTGAGTTTCAGTCATATAGTATTCCAACATCCATTCCTCCACCAGTGTACATTTCCCAGCACCAGTGTCCCCAGGTTCTTTCCCATCAACCCCCTGTCCCCCTCCTTTTGGGCATTGTGGTTTGCAATATTGATATTGAAAGGTTATCAAGAATGTCCCTTTACCTACTTTTAACCCTCAGATCCTGTCCAGCGTGATCATTCCCAGCTATTATTGACATAGATAAACTCTTAATGTCTTTACTTCTTCCCAATCTACTACTGTTCACCAATCACATTACTTTTTCATCTAGAATATTTCAGCACTATGGCAGGTACTAATAATAAAGCTTATTGTAGACAAAGCCAAATAAAGACTAGCAACATTAGTTTTTACATAGATTATTTGAGAAGTATAAATTAGATACTTTCATTAAACTTATTTTATTCAACTTCATAAAATTTGTTTAAATTTTTCAGGAAAAGAATCTTGTGGAACTACTAAGGTAGATTTCTATACCGCAGATTCTCATCAAATCCACTTATATAACTACTTAGATTGCAAGGTGTGAATGAAATGATACTTACTACATTCCAGCACACAGTGCATGTTCAACAGATGTTAGTGGCAACTAACATCTGCTGGTCCAGATTTGGAGCCTGGATGAGGTCAAGTTATGCCAAGTCATGCAGCCAGAAACTATGTATCTGGCCTAGACCTCTCTGGGAGTCACCCATTAGATGGGATTTTTAGTGTCCTTGCCCACCCAAGTTCTCTTGATCCAAGTTGTTACTTTTACCTACCAATTTGTTTTTTAGATTTTTTGTGATGTCTAACAAACAGAAAGTTAGAAGTGATTTGGAAAGAGAACAGCATTGCCCTCACACAGGGACACACACACACACACACACACACACACACATACACACACACACACCACGTTTCCACATATCTGAACTGGTGACAGTCCCAGAAAAAAAAATACCAGAAGGAATTAGGTAGCCCTGACATGATGAAAGCCAGAATTGATTAACTTAGAGTCTCTGAGGAACCATTTATGTATGGACTGATGGAACATAATAAAAGGGCTTTGGGATCAGTAAAACACTGATTTGAAATTTAATTCAGATATTTTCTGTCAAAGTGACCCATTTAAGTTAATCTAGATGTTCCCTGACTGTGTTTTATTATTTATAAAATGTATAATAGTAATAGTGTCTCATCATTAAGAGTTACTGTGAGCATTCAGTGAATTAAATACAAGTAAACCATTTAGAATAGTGTGACTCATGGTAAGTTCATATGATGATCACTATATTCTGCCTATTAGAGGCATCAATGCAATCTGAGTTATGCATAAAGCTGAAAATTATGATGGAACACAACATGATTTCTAAATAAGATTTATTTTGAGCAACAAAAAGCATTTTATAATAAATCAAACATTGTCCACAGATTTGTGAGCAAATTCTTATTTTGCAACAAAGTGATAATCAGTTTCCAAAAGAAAAATAAAATAAAATTGACTTAGAATTTCTGTATAGATTTATCTTGGCTGGAAAAGAATTAGTCTGCTAAATAATGACTACATGTTATCCATGACATAATGTTATCCATATTCATTATATTTGAATACTTTGAGAGTAGTGCTGCTTTTGAACATATTAAAATGTAAATATCTTACAAACACACATGGGTTTTATATCTAGGGTAGGAAAGATTATGTTTTCCATGGGAAACATAACACAATGTAATTACATTATATTTCTTTCCTCTAAGTTTTAGACACCATCTTGACCAAGAAAGTTGACCTCAGTAATGTGCAGCTCTCAGTGTTTCCATACTACACCTCTCTGGGCACAGCCTTGTATGGAAAGGAGAAACCTCTGGTTAAACTTCCAGCACCGTTCAGAGAATCATTGGACCATCTCTTATGGAAGTTCTTGCAGAAAAACAATCACCTGATTAGGGAGATAAATGATGAAATGGCACGTTTTCACTGTGAGCTAACTTGGTCCCAACTTAACGGGGAAGTTACCATCAGACCTACAGTCACTTTGGTCAATCAGGGAACGAAGAAAATCAAAACCTGGCAGCAAGATGCTTCCACAGCATTCTCTGACCTCAGGTCTAGATACAAGATCACCTCATTCAAGGTGGCCCCAATCATGTGGGACACCATAAAGAACAGTGTAAAAGATGATTGTCTTTCAATAGAGTTTGATTCACTTATGGAGCTTGTCACCTTGGTCGGGAGATCAGAGGATATAGAAAACATTGAGTCACATGTCAAAGAATTAATACAAAGCACCACCGAAAAAATTAAAAGAGCACAGCAAAATCTGGAAGAAAAACTGACCATTTCTCTAGGGAAGTATTATCTGTTACATGAAAGTAGGACATTGGAGCTTATCCACACCAATTATCCAAAGATAGAGACTATTTATGATCATTCCGCTCAGCACATGTACTTCAAAGGACCCCTGGCAGATGTTCATAAAGTCAAGTGTGAAATCCAGGAGAAGGTATACAGCATGCCTCAGAAAAACATTCAGGTTCCCCCTGAGATTTTTCAGTTTTTGCAACAGGTAAATTGTATAGATTTTTCCAGGTCTCTTTTTATAGCACAGAAAATTTTTGCATTGTATGAGCTACAGTCTACATCTGTTCTCTTAATCAGCTGTTCTTCTGAAGACCTACTAGAAGCTGAAAAGCAAATGATGAGTACCTTAAATTATAAGTGCATTGAGATTGAAGACAGGAAAGTTTTTCATAACAAGAAATGGAAAGAACTCATCAGCAGTTTGCAGGATTACAATTCCTCCTCCTCAAAATGTGTAATAATTCATAACCTAACTCCAGAAACCTCCGCCAAAGTCATCATAGCAGGCTGTGTAGGAGAAGTAAACCAAGTTCATACCTCACTGCTCGACTTCCTGAAAACACAAACAATAATCACGAAATTGTTTGAAGTCAAGCCTTCCTTAGTTTTTTATTATTTAAAGTCAGAAAAGAAAGTATTTTGGCAACAGTTAAACATGAAAAATGTGCAGGTACAATTTAATTCGAAAAGTTTCCCAAAGAGTATTTCATTAACTGGTCCCAAGTGCCAAGTTGGGGAGGGAATGAACCTTCTCAAGCGTGCCAGGGACTCAATCTGTGTTAGAAGTGTCCAGATTGACAAGCCAGGAGCCAGACAATTCTTCCAGGAAAAAGCTTGGTTTTATAAAAGTGAGGTGAAAAGGCTATTTGGTTGCTTTGTTGAACTTCAGAAGAATAAAGAAAGGGAGGAAGGTGGCAGTGACGGCCAGAAGTGCTACCTCAGGACGGACCTGTCCCCTGGGGTGTCACTGAGTGTGCAGCAAGGTGACCTAACCCGGTTTCCGGTGGAAGTGGTGGTCAATGCGGCCAACGAGGATCTCAATCACCTCAAGGGCCTTGCGGCTGCTCTCTCCAAAGCCGCGGGCCCTGAGCTCCAACGTGACTGCGACCGGATAGTGAAGATCCAGGGCAAGATCCTCCCCGGCTTTGCGGTGGTCTCCAAAGCTGGAAACCTCCCATATGACCACGTGATCCACGCAGTCGGACCCAGATGGGAGAAGGCTAAGGCCCAGAAGTGTGCATACGTGTTAAAGAGAGCTGTGCAGGAAAGCCTGCGTTTGGCTGAAGAGCACAACTACCGGTCCATCGCCATCCCTGCTATTCGTCCTGGAGTCCTGGGCTTTCCCTTACCACAGAGTATGGAGGCCACTGTTTTGGCCATCATGGAATACTTCCAATTTCACTCAGAACAACACAGCTTGAAGGAAATTTATCTTATAGATGCAGCTGAGAAAACTGTTAAAGCCTTTGCTGAAACCGTGGAAACTCAGTTTAAAGTGTTCTCACACTTACTTTGCCAACCGTCCACTTTCCAGAAAATAAATTCCTCAATGCCCACCTGGAAATCGACCTCTTTTGAGGGAACAAGAAGTAAATGGCCTCCAAGGGAACCCAAGCCTACCTTCAAACCTGTCAATCATTCCAGCAAACAAAAAGAAGTATCCTTCAATTTTGGAAATGCTCTATTAAAGGACACCCTGCCCGGTACTGCTTCCCAGCCTCCTGTTCGAAGTGCTGTTCAGGCAGGATTGAGGAAAGATCATGGGAACAAACAAATTCTGTGGGTCCCAGGAGGCTTGAAGGTCCTGATGGTTAAAGGAGATGTACAGAGTGCAAAGGTGAGTGTTCCCAGCACTGAACACCTAGCAGGGTGCTGCAACCCCAAACTCCACCCCACGGATAAACAGTTTATTTATAATTTTCTTTAGAAAATTGGTACCTCACTGAAGTGTTTACTAAGATAGGTCAATTTTCCGCAGTAACTGAAAGTGGGTACAGGTATTCACTATATAATCACATGCACTTATATAATCACATACACAGAATATCTCATATACATGTTCATATACAGCTATCTATTTGTTCAGAGACTTTGCCCATTTTAATTCTCTTATTAGTTTAAAATTATTACTGTGATCACAAGTCCCCTATCAGATACACACTTTGGCACTTTGGATAATTTCTTCCATTTGAAAGATCATCCCCCTTTTAGTTGTTCAGTAGAAACTGTTTCAGATGCTTTTTGCTTTAACTTAAATTTTTCATTTTAAAATTAAATAAAAGATTTTAAATTAGAGTTCTGCTTTGAATAAGTTTGAATATAGTAAAAGAATAGTAACTCACTTGGCTTACCTCCCATATTCAGACATTATACTAAGTGCTTTGATCCACATTTTTACTTTTGATATCATGTGGTGGATCCTTTGTTTATTAATTTTATCATTTACGCTTGATGAAATAAGACTTAGAGTGGTTAAATAAATTGTGTACATCTCATAAGTCACAAGTGATTAAGCCTGTATTTGGACTTTTCAGACTTTTAACCACTGCATTTTTTTCATTCTTTTTAAAAAACTTTTTAATTGAATCACTGTGAGATAGACCATTACAAAGATGTTCATGATTGGCTTTCAGTCACACAGTATTCCTGCACCTTCCCTCCACCAGTGTACATTTCCCAGCACCAGTGTCCCCACTTTCCCTCCCATCACCCACCCACCCCAACCCTTGCCTGCCTCTATGGCAGGTGCTTTTCTTCTCTCTCCTTTTAGGCATTGTCGTTTTGTGGTTTGCAATATTGATACTGAAAGGTTATCAAGAATATCCCTTACCTACTTTTAACCCTCAGATCTTGTCCAGCATGATCATTCCCAGCTATTATTGTCATACCTGTCTCTTCTCTATCTTATCTACCCTCAGCCCCACACAGACTTGTGGTTAGTTCCAACTACTGACCAGTGCTCCTAACCCCTGTTTTCCCTGGCCATGGATGTTATTCTTATAATATATATGTATATATGTATATATACATATACATATATAAAATATCCCACAAATGAATGCAGTCATTCTATATCAGTCCCTCTCCTCCTGATTATTTCACTCAGCATCATACTCTTCATGTCCGTCTATTTATAGGCAAATTTCATGACTTCATTTTTCCTGATAGCTGCATAGTATTTCATTGTGTAGATGTCCACTTCATTGTTTTAAAATAATTTTTGTCTTTGCAAAAGTATAAGCAGTACATTTTTTTACCAATAGTTTGTAATTGGAACAATTTCTGTTCCTCGTCCTCCTTGAACCCTGAACTGAGAGGCATAGCTTCCTTTCTTTCTACTCCATCCATCTTTTTCTGATGTCACAGCACCTGCACCTCAGTACCTCTTGATAACTCATGCAGAGTTGTGGGTTGGTTTTGTGTGTGTGCGGGGCAGGATTCTGGGAAGGAGGGAGACTGGAAAGAGCAGTGTTCAGAGACACTTCCTGAGTGCTCAGGGGTCACTCATGGCAGAGCTTGTGGGACCACATGTGCTGGGCGTCAAACCAGAGTGAGCAGTGTACAAGTCTGCAAGCCTTAACCTCTGTACTATCTCTCCATCCCATAGGTGCTTTGAAAAGTCACTTTTCTACATTCTTTTATTCTTTTTCTGTGGCTATTATTAACTTGCTCGCATTAGTGTTCTGCTGTAAAAAGTTTTCAGAGCTCCTATCTATGTGGGACTCTTCCAGTGTTGTGCCCGAGTTTCAGATCCCCAATCACAGAGAGACCCACCCAGTTCCACACATGATAATGCAAAAGAAAAGGAACTTTATTATCAGCCCAAGCCAAGGCTAACTCGAGCTAGGGTTCATGTCTCATCCAACACAGTGGAGTCTTGACAAGGTCTCTGACTCCAAATCACAAGCAGTTTATATAGGATTCAGAGCTAAGAAACAATTTGTATACTGGTCTATTTTTAGCATTGGCCCTTTTACAATGGTGATCAGCAATTAGGCAATGGTTGGTAATAGTTTCTAAGGAGGGTGCAGTGACCCTTCATGACCGGCCAGACCTAACTGCCCAATTCCTTATCTTGGCAAATTACTCAACTGGGAGTTTTACCAGCAACTGCAAGTCTTGCTTTGGGGAAACAGAAACTGAGGCCTAGCTGAGACTTAATGTTAGCTGCAGCTTGTTATGGTATCAGTTTTGCTCTCACACCAGTAGTTGGCTCACTTGGATGCTATATTTAGCTTGACTGGCACCATTTTGCACCAAAAGCTTTCTAAAGACCAAACTAATCTGCTTAGACTTCACAAATTACTATACTGGTCTCATTCTGTCCCTTTTCCAAATGACTTCCCTATCTCTCTCTGCCTCTACAACTATATCTACTCAGTTTTTACCTGGCATGGTCTACACAAGTAATTGAAGGCAATTCCTGTGCACAGAATCACCATCACAAACTTAATTATTACTTTTATATTCTTTATTATTCTGGAAATATTTCTATCTTTAATAAAATTTTGCCTAGAAATGCTATTTCAGGATCTGAAAACTAAACAATCCTTCCTACTTTTCCTTCCTCGCTAGTAATCCTTGATGAACATTTTTGGTTAATGTTTGAAAACACATTGTTGTTTTTGTCTTTAAGACTGATGTTGTTGTCAATTCCATTTCCTCGGATCTTGAACTTAATCAAGGGCCTCTCTCTCGTGCCCTCTTGAAAAGTGCCGGGCCAGAGCTTCAGAAGGAATTGAATAGAGCTGGAAAAATCATGACTGTGAATGTGGGCACAGTTCTTCAAACAGGTGGCTATAATCTGCCTTGCCTTTATGTGCTTCATGTGGTGGCTGCAAGTTGGACAAACGATAATTCACACAAGGTGGGTTCTGATTTGCCAGTCTCCCGAAATTTGGTTCGCCCTTGGACTCTCCTTTCGTACAGTGTAGATTAGATCTCATCTGTTATTTCTTCTATAAATATGTTGCTTTCTTAGTAGATTTCACCTTTGTAGCCACTTCCTGCAGTTTTAGCTTACTCCTCTTGGAGACTAATTAAAAATATAGATGTATAAAGGTGTGATTTTGCTTTTTCAGATCATGGAAGGTATAATCAGAAAATGTTTGGAGATCACTGAGAACCTGTCCTTGAACTCAATCACATTTCCAGCAATAGGAACAGGAAATTTGGGCTTTCCTAAAAATGTTTTTGCTGACTTGATCCTGTCAGAAGTCGTCAAATTTAGCAGAAAGAATCAAACAACAACTTTACAAGAGGTTCACTTTCTGCTGCAACCAAGTGATCATGAAAATATTCAGGTACAAGTGAACCCAATTCTGGTTACTTTTTATAATTAAGTCCTATTTTTTGAAATGTTTTATTGTCTAATACATTATTTCTCTTATGTATTTCCCATTCAGGAAAATTAAGAATTAATATATACCTGTGTAGGATAAAAAATTTCAAGTAAATTTTTATATAGCACTGTAGCACTGTCCTCCCATTGTTCATCAAGTTGCTCGTTAGATGTAGAAAAAAATTTACTTCCTATTAAGGAAACTTCAAATATATGCAAAAGTTTACCTTATAACACTATAAACTCACTTTACAAATTTTCACTCATCTTCAAAATTCAATTTCCAATTAATGTGTTTCATCTCAATTTATTTTCCCTATCTTATTTCTATAATATTATATATATAGAAAACTAGTACATTCATTCTACACATGAACATTTCATTTTAGATGAAAGGACTCTTTATTGTTTTTAATTTATCTCATTTATTTACTTATTTATTTATTATTTTATTATTTTTTTATTAGTGAAACACCATGAGGTACAGTTGTAGACTTACAGGCTTTCATGCTTGGGTTTCAGTTATACCATGTTCGAGTACCCATTCCTCCACCAGATCTTGTAGTTTGAAGTAGAGGTATTGAGTGGCCATCGTGTTTGCTCTATAGTCTACTTTCAGCATGCATCTTGCATCCCAAGCGAGTCCTGCAAATATCCTTTACTTGGTGTTCCCTTCTCTATCTGAGCTGCTTTTCCCCCCAGCATGTGCTGCTGGCTTTCAAGCCAGGGAGAAGACCTCCTCGTACTTATCTCAACTATTCTTGGGTGTTCAACTCCCATTCTGTTACTTTATATTCCCCAGATGAGTGCAGTCTTTCTATATCTGTCCCTCTCTTTCTGGCTCATTTCACTTTGCATAATACTTTCCATGTAGAACCACTTGTATGTAAATTTCATGACTTCATCTTTCCTAACAGCTACATAGTACTCCATTATGTAGATGTACCAAAGTTTCTTTAACCAGTCATCTGTTCTCGGGCACTCGAGTTTTTTCCAAATTTTGGCTATTGTGAACAGTGCAGCAATGAACATAGAAGTGCAGATTCATTTCGATTGTACTTTTTTGCCTCTCAGGGATATATTCCCAGGAGTGGTATTGCTCGGTCAAATGGGAGCTCAACTTCTAATTTTTTAAGAATCGTCCATACTGTTTTCCAAAAGGGCTGAAGCAATCTGCATTCCCACCAGCAGTGAAGAAGGGCCCCTTTCTCGCCACATCCATGCCAACACCGGTTGCTTTTGTTCTTTTCGATGTGGCCAGTCTCTGTGGTGTGAGATGATATCTCATTGTAGTTTTGATCTGCATCTCCCTGATGATTAGTGATGTAGAGCATTTTCTCATGTGCCGTTTTGCCATTTGTATTTCTTCTTTGAGAAAGTTTCTATTCATTTCGTCACCCCATTTTTTGATGGGGTTGTATGTTTTCTTTTGTGGAGTTCAACCAGTGCTTTGTATATCCCTGATATCAACTCCTTGTCAGATGGGTATTGGGCAAATATCGAAAGGATTCTTTTTTAAAAAGTAATATAACACAACAATATTTCATACATAAAATATAAAATAATTTTTCTTTTTAATTATGAAGTCAATGTCTGTGTCTCATAATGTTTTATTTTATATTTAAAGGGTTTTGATTTGAATAATAATCTAATAAAATTCATATACAGCATAAGGGTTACATATTTTTAATGCTATTTTTAATTAGATTAGGATTTAAAGGTTTGCATTCTATACAAATATTTTTGTATTGGGAGCCATACCTAGTAGTGCTCAGTCCTGACTCTACACTCAGGGATCATTCCTTGTGGTTCTCATGCGCCATCTGGGATGCCAGAGATGACCCCAGGTTGGCCTCATGCAAAGTAAATGCCCTATCCTATCCACTGTACTTTCCCTTCAGTCCCTCATACAAACATCTTAAAACAAAATTTATTTATTTATATTTATTTTTTTAGTCACCATGAGATACAGATTTACAAAGCTGATCATGGTCGAGTTTCAGTCATACAGTATTCCAATACCCATCCCTCCACCAGTGTACATGTCCCACCACCAATGTCCCGAGTTTCCTTCTGCCATCCTCATACCCAGCCTAATTCTCGGGCAGACACTTTCCTTCTTTCTGTCTCTGTCTCTCCCCTCCTTCATTTGGGGGCATTTTGATTTGCAATACAGGTACTGAAAGGTTATCATGTTTGTTCCTTTACCTTTTTTTTGTACACAATTCTTATCCAGAGTGATCATTTCCAACTATATTTGTCCCATCTCTATCCCAACTGCCTTCTCCCCTAGCATTTGAGGTAGGCTTACACCCATGGGCCACTCCTCATGGCTCTTGTTTCTACCGTCCTTGGGCATAGATTTCTTATTATGTGTTTTTTTTTATGTCCCACAAATAAGTTCAATCATTCTATGTCTAACCCTCTCCTCTGACTCATTTTACTCACCATAATATTCTCCATGGTTATCCATTTATACGAAAATTTAATAACTTCAATATTCCTAATAGCTGCATACTATTTTATTGTGTGTATGTACCATATTTTCTCTAAACAGTAATCTGTTCTCATGCACTCAGATTTTTTCCTGATTCTGACTATTGTGAATAGTGGCTTCACTGAACATTTCTACTGTGCTAACACAGAATTTAAATATACCATTGTGACCCTATGACTGGGTCACAGTGGTGTATTTATATTCTGTGTTAAATAAAGAATTACAATACCGGGTGGATATGCATGACAAAGTGGCCACAGTGAACTCATACTCATACATGGGAGTGGGAATGCTGAGACCAGAATACCAGAACCACCTTTAATCACTGAGGACTCACCAGTCTGCTCACATTTGCTGGAGAGCAGCTATAAGAGAGTCACAAAACTAATCATTAAGGTAAAACAAGAAATACTAATTAAAAATTCCTTTGATCCCAGTTCTCATAGTTTAGAATAGGTGACATCAAATCTTTGAAAAATCAATGATAAGAAAGTAAACAGAGTAAAACCATCCATGTTAGAGATACCCATGGATCATTGGGCTATTTAAACATTTGTTTATTTAGCAATTTTTCTTAAATCTAAACACTACCTTAAATTTTTTAATTTTAAAATTGTGTTTATTAAGGTGACATCAGATAACAATGCTTATTTGTTTTGGAGGTACAGTGTTACCACACCACCCAAAAACAGAATGACAATATTCCTCCACAACTATCTATGTATCTATGCCATTCACTCCCCACGCTCTGTATAACTTCTGTTTTGTTATCAGACTCTGAGCATTTATTGTTAATCGGCATTTTTAATTCTCTTGCTTATTTCTTTATGTAACATACACAATGTAGTTGTCTGTTTTTGTCTTTTTCCTTCTGATTTTGCTTTACATGATACCCTCTGGGTTCATCCAAAATTTAGGAAAAAATCGACTTCTTTGTTTTTCAGTAATATTTCTATTATGTATGTATACCATGTTTTTTTAATATCTGCTCATGCATCATTGGGATTTGTGTTATTTCCAGATTTTGTTTATTGTCAATAGTATTGTAATTGCAGACACTTAGGTGTCTGCATCACTGTCACTGTCACTGTCCTCCCATTGTTCATCAATTTGCTTGAGCAGGCACCAGTAACGTCTCACAACAAATTGTGAGACTTGTTGTTGCTGTTTTTAGCATATTCGAATATATCACAGGTAGCTTGCCAGGCTTTACCAAGCAGGCGAGATACTCTCAGTAGCTTGCCAGGTTCTCTGAGAGGGGCGGAGGAATCAAACCCGGGTCGGCCGCGTGCAAGGCAAACGCCCTGACCGCTGTGCTATGGATCCAGCCCAGATGTCTGCATACCTTTTCAGATTAGTGTTTTAGTGTTCTTGGAATAGATACCTAACAGTGGAATTTCTGGGTAATATTGTAACTTTGTTTTTAATTTTTGAGACATCCCCACATTGTTTTCCATAGAGACTGAACCAGTTTACATCCCACCAGCACTGTTACTTTCAATCTGCCTCCCTGCCTAAACTCATTGTTTCTATCTTTTTGATGTATGCGCTTCTCATTTGATGAGTTGATACCTCATTTTGAACTTCAAGAACCCAGAAAATGACCAGCCAGTTTAAAACACTTACCTAACAAGTGCAAAACCGTAATTTCAAACCTGGTTCTGTCGCATATGTGGAGACTACTTAGATAACCCCATTGTCTAAGATTCCCTGAAAGTATACTTACCTTCTTTAGAAACTAACATAACCTGCATTCTAAGCAGGCACAACACCAACCAAGAAAAACATGTGGCCCATTTAGTTGACCCACACACTAAAGTAATTCCCGGTACTGTAGGACTTGCATTGTACAAGGTGATGTGGATCAGGACTGACTGCATTACGCATACTTGCCCAGCTGTAAATTATAAGTACTTAGCTAGTATTTTTGGATTTGTAAGGAGGAGGGATGTTTGGGACACAACTGGCTATACTCATACTCAGGGATTGCTCCTGTCCCTGAGCTCAGGGATAACTCTTGCCAGTCTTGGGTGACTCTAGGGGTTGCTGGGGAAAAAACCCAGGTCAGCACACATAATGCAAATGTTTGACCCACTGTACTCTAGCTCCTGGAGCTAATTTTTTTAATTAGCTAATTTAAAAAATGTAAATCCTTCGACACTACCTCCACTACCCAGCCGTCGCCACACTCCAGGATGCTTTCTGGACCCGCGTGGCAGTTCTGGCCGAGACTCACGCACGACTGAAGACCCACAGAACAAGATAAGCAGAACTCTCTGAGACCTTGGACTCCGGGCTCGGCGGACCCAGGGACAGAGTTTCTCTGCTTGCTCCCACCAACCACAGGTGACAAGGGGATTCTGGTCGGGAGCCCCACCCTGCCCTGCCCTGTCTGCTTCCATCAACCACCCAGGGATCGAATTGCACACAGTAGACCCACCCTACCCAGGTAAATACCCCACTGGCAGACTTTCAAAATCAACACTGCCTCCACTACCCAACCGTTGCCACACTCCAGGACGCTTTCCGGACCCGCGCCGCCAGGTCATAAGACACATCATAAGACACTAAATACCCATCTTCCGGAATTGTTGTACCATATTTGATAGGGTTCAAATATGGTAACACCTACAAGGGTGATTAGAGGTCGCCCCAAAAGCCTCTATCCCTCTTGGAAAGACTGGCACGTTACCGAGAGTATTCCGCCCGCATGGAAGAGCCTGGCAAGCCATCCGTTGTGTATTCGATATGCCAAAACCAGTAACTACAACTGGTCTCATTCACCTGACCCTGAAGGCTTCACCGACATGGCAGCACTGAGAAGGATGAGAAAGGAGAGGCCGACAAAATCTCAAGGCCGAACTAGGCTGCCACAACGAAGGAAGACAAAAATGATCGTCTGTACTTTCAATGCATGTACGCTAGCATCAGATGCATCCATCGAGGACCTGATGGTACAAGCGCGAATGATCAAGTACGACATCATTGTTCTGACCGAGACAAGAAGGCACGAATCTCACCATGCTGTTTTCAACACTGGAAAAGAATTGTTCCTCGGAACATGTGATAAAAGAGGTGTCGGAGGCGTCGGTGTCCTTGTCAACCCAAACTTGGCCAAGAGCATTCATTCATTCGAATGCCTAACAACCCGAATCGGACATTTACATTTGAAAAGATGTGGCTCACTGCCTGCAGTTTCTATCTTCATTGTCTACGCACCAACATCTCATTATGATGAAAGTGAAATCGAGAAGTTCTACATGGAACTAGAGAAGTTCTATAAAGAAGACCACACCTTCTACAAGATCATTGTGGGTGATTTTAATGCCAAGATAGGACCGAGAAGATCAGCTGAAGAACTTCACATCGGGACCCATGGCCTAGAATGGAACGAACAGGGTGAGAGACTGTCTGAGTTCATCATGTCGACCAAGACCATCCATGGTAACTCACAGTTCCAGAAGGCAGAATCTAAACGATGGACATTGGAGTCTCCCAGTGGACGATTCCACAACGAAATAGACCACATCATATTCAATCGACGGTTTTGCCTGACCGATGTCACTGTTGTCCCAAAATTTCGAACGGGATCGGACCACCGTCTCCTTCGTGCAAAATTCTACTTCACAGAGTGGGGAGAAAGGGCTGCAAAGTTCAAAAAGAGAACTCCCAGAACGACCACCAACTGGGAACTCTTTGGCACTATTGTGGCAACATGGGAAGATGCCATTGTTGACAACATTGACGAGGAATATGATAGACTGGTTCAGCACCTCCATGAATGTGCGAGGAACGCTAAGAGAGAGATAGCCACAAAAAATTGCCTATCTTCGAAAACTCTTGAGCTAATTCGCCAGCGTGGTTTGGCACATGCCTCAGGCAACCGCAAGCTAACGTCCGAGCTCGCAAAGCAGTGCAGAGATGCGATCAAGGAAGATCTCAAAGAGAGAAGAGCAGAAGTACTGGTAGATGCGGCAGCAGCCGGGAAAAGTATTCGTAACGCCCACCTGTCCTTCGCCAACTACAAGACCAAGATGACTGCCCTCCGAAGTCCTGATGGATCCATCACATCCTCCAGAACGGCAATGGAGAAGATTATCCATGACTTCTACTCAAATCTCTTCGATAGCCATGTCCACTTGCCGACATACCAAATTCCACAGGATGGATATGTCGTTCCCAATGTTCTCCCTTCCGAAATCCGACACGCCATTTTGTAGGTAAAGAAACAAACAGCACCCGGCCCAGACAAGGTCAGACCTGAACACCTGAAGAACCTGCCGTCAGTACTCATCAATACACTGGCTCGGCTCTTCACTCGCTACCTGTCTGAATGCAAGGTTCTGTCCCAATGGAAAACCAGCAGGACCGTACTACTGTTCAAGAAGGGAGACATCCATGACATTGGCAACTATCGCCCGATCTGCCTATTGTCTGTCATCTACAAGTTGTTCACTCGAGTCATCCTAAATAGGATTGGCAGAACACTAGATGAAGGACAACCATGTGAGCAAGCCGGGTTCCGCAAAGGATTCAGCACCATCGACCATATGCACATGATAACCAAGCTCATTGAGGTTTCTCAGGAGTTCAAGATGCCGCTCTGTTTAACGTTCATTGATTTAAAGAAGGCCTTTGATTCTGTTGAGACGGAAGCGGTCATTGAAGCCCTAGCCAATCAGGGCATTCAAGCCCAATACATCAGGATCCTTCGTGAGCTGTATTGCGGATTCACTACCAGGATCTCACCATTCTACAAAGAAGTGATCGTTGATGTCAAGAGAGGGGTGCGGCAGGGTGATACCATTTCACCGAAACTCTTCAGTGCCACCCTCGAGAACATCATGCGACGACTGGAATGGGAAGGAATCGGAGTGAAGATAGATGGTCGGCAACTACACCACCTCCGCTTTGCTGATGACATTGTTTTAATAACACCAAACATCAGCCAAGCGGCACAAATGCTGGTCGACTTTGACCGTGAGTGTGGAAAGGTAGGACTACAGCTGAATCTTACGAAGACAATGTTCATGAGAAACAGCCTCGTTCCTGACACCCCATTTGCTCTCAACGGAACGACCATCTCCGAATGCAACAGCTATGTGTACCTAGGTCGAGAAGTCAACATGACAAATGCCCTGGCACCCGAGCTGAGCAGGAGGAAGAGAGCGGCTTGGAACGCCTTCAAGAACATCGAAGAAATAGCTAAGAGGACGAAGAACCTCCGGCTCCGGGCACATCTCTGATTCCACTGTTCTTCCTGCACTAACATATGCCTCAGAGACCTGGGCCCTAAGCAAACAGGATGAGAACGCTATTCAGTTCTCCCAAAGAAGAATAGAAAGAGCTATACTTGGAATATCACGTTTCACTCAAATGAGAGAAAGAATCCGGAGTTCTGACATCCGTCAACGATCAAGAATCAGGGACGCTGTCTCATTTGCCAAGGTGTCGAAAATCAGATGGGCTGGTCACGTAATGAGATTTAAAGACGACCGCTGGACTAGAGCTGTTACTGACTGGATTCCACGGGATGTCAAAAGACCGCATGGCCGCCCACCTACCAGATGGTCAGACTTCTTTGTCAAGATCATGAATGATCGGTTTGAAGCTCTTTATGTTCCCAGAGCGAACAGATGACATTGGGCTACACTAGCACGCGACAGGGACAAGTGGAGATGTTACTGGCACCCGCTCGAGCAAATCGACGACTAATGGGAAGTTAAGTGATTAAGTGAAATCATTCACTAATATTTAAGAATCAAACACAAAACCCTAAAAATCCACTATGACCTAGGAATTCAAATGTCCGGGCACTTCCAACAAAGATTTGTGCCTACACGGTTGGCTGTGGGTGAGTGGCAGGCGGTTCCCCCGATCTTGGAGGACAGTGGGCCTGTTCTCCTGCTCAGCCTCTCTGGATCTTTCTCCCATTTTCTATTAGTCTTTTTTTCCAAGATGTTACTTCCATTTAATAAAGATCTCTGTTGCTTGTTTACAAAGAGAAAGAAAGTAATGACTTTGGAACCTCAATATCATGCCAAAAAAAAAGTGGAATTCATAATCTCTTTAATCTGAGAAAACCAGAGTAGCCCTTTGTTCCAAAAAGCTCTACTGGGGCTAGAGGACAGTGGGCAGGGCATTTGCCTTGGACACAGCTCACTGGCGTTCTATCCTCCACACCCTGTATAGTCACTGGAGCCTGTCAGGAATAATTCCTGAGTGCAGAGCCAATTGTAAGCTCTGAACATGGCTGGGTGAGCCCCAAAATAGAAAAGAAAAATAAAAGTACACTGCCTTCCTCATGTTCCTCTCCTGATACAAACAAGCACTTTAATAGTAAAATGCTTGGGTCTTTGTGATAGTCTGTCTCTTAACACTGTATCTTTTCAGCTGGCAGGTTAAATTTTAGCGATTAAAAAGGTAATACATAATGTTGTCTAGACATTCAAGAATACAAAATGTATAACCTTTTAATTGTATTTCATTCAGTCTTATTTTTGCATGTGGGTTTTTAAAAATGGGATTATATAGTATATACATTAGTATGTATTATTCTTCCTTGGGCTGGAGCGATAGCACAGCGGTAGGGCGTTTGCCTTGCACGCAGCCAACATGGCCAACCCGAGTTCGATTCCTCCGCCCCTCTCAGAGAGCCCGGCAAGCTACCGAGAGTATCTCGCCCGCACGGCAGAGCCTGGCAAGCTCCCCGTGACGTATTCGATATGCCAAACACAGTAACAACAAAGTCTCCAATGGAGATGTTACTGGGCCCGCTTGAGCAAATCGATGATCAATGGGAGGGCCTTTACTCACTTTACTTTACTCACTTAATTTAATAAATAAGAGTATTTTCCTATTAACTATTCTTTGAAAATGCATTTTTGTGACTGCTAAAACAAGAATATATGTGTTTAAAGTTTGTTTAATCATAAACTTTGTTTAATCTGTCTTATATTTGAAAAATTTTATTTTCTCTATTATAAATAACACTACAATAATATTCTAGCAAGTATACCTTATTTACATCTATGATAACTTCCATTGGATATATTTGCAGAAACAAAATTATGTCTCATTTTTATAACTTTGAAAATTTCTAATGAAAATAAAACGTGATTGAGGATTGTTCTCTCACAAGTGTGCTTGTATGCAGGATCAAAAACCCTGATGAAGCAAATTATTATCGCTTGAAGATTCTTGTGGTCTAAATAATCTTTGTATTTCCAGGCATTTTCAGATGTATTTGCCCAAAGGGCTATTGGAAATTTTCCCAGTGACAAAATTTTCCAGGCTGCAGATGCACAAGGTTAAGTAAAGCTTATTAATTTTTTTTAGATGCTAAATAACTGTTAAGTGACAGAGGAGGGAGGGGAACGATAATGAGATTTGTGTATGTGCATATGTGTGTGAGAGACTGTCTGTGTGTGTGAAGAATTTGTTTTTAATATTTGCTTTTATTTTCCTCCCACTTTTATTATGGCACCAAAATTTACAATACTGTTAATTATAGCTTTATACGTATATCATTCCAACACTGCACCACCAGCTGAGTGCCCACTTCCCTTCATAGGAACCCCCACCCTCTGACTCCCTAAGAAAGTTCATTCTGTAGACCAACTCTCTAATTATATTGCCTTTGGCTAGTTATTGCTGCTCCTTCAGCTATGTTTCTTTATACCCCATATATGAGAATGATTCCTCCATATCTCTCCGTCTCCTTCTGACTGACGAATCAGAATGATAGCCTCTACTTCCATCTACATAGTGGCAAGTTGCATGGTTTCATTTTTTTCTTCTTTATTTAATCCTATACTTTTACTTCCAATATTAATTTGTTTTTGTCTTATTTAGTTTATCTTAGGGATCACATTAAGTTGTACTCAAGGTTTAATCCTGGCAGCATTCAGGGGACCATATGGAATGCTGGAGATGGAATTTGTGTTGGTTGCATGCAAGTCAAGTGCCCTAACTACTGTACTATCTATCCAACTTATTTCATCTTTTCTTATATCTGAGAAATATTCCATCATGTGGTGTATGTGTGCATATGTATATATCACAAATTATATATAAATATATTTTATAGATATATATCACAATTTCTTTCTTTTTCTTTTTTTTATTGAAACATCATGAGGTACAGAGGTAGACTTACAAATTTTCTTGCTTGGGTTTCAGTTATACAATGTTCGAGTACCCATCCCACCACCAGTGCCCATTCTCCACCACCAATGATCCCAGTAGCCCTCCCACCCCCAAAAACTATGATCCCAGTAGCCCTCCCACCCCACGCTGCCTCTGTGGCAGGGCATTCCCTTTTGCTCTCTCTTCCCTTTACAGTGTTGTAGTTTGCAATAGAGATATTAAGTGGCCATTCTGTTTGGTCTATAGTCTACTTTCAGCACACATCTTGCAACCCGAGTGAGTCCTGCAAATATCCTTTACTTGGTGTTCCCTTCTCTATCTGAGCTGCCTTTTCCCCCCAGCATGTGCTGCTGGCTTTCAAGCCAGGGAGAAGACCTCCTCGTACTTATCTCAACTATTCTTGGGTGTTCAGCTCCCATTCTGTTACTTTATATTCCCCAGATGAGTGCAGTCTTTCTATATCTGTCCCTCTCTTTCTGGCTCATTTCACTGTGCATGATACTTTTCATATAGAACCACTTGTATGTAAATTTCATGACTTCATCTTTTCTAACAGATGCATAGTATTCCATTGTGTAGATGTACCAGTTTCTGTAACCAGTCATCTGTTCTTGGGCACTCGAGTTTTTTCCAAATTTTGGCTATTGTGAACAGTGCAGCAGTAAACATACAAGTGCAGATGTCATTTCGACTGTACCTTTTTGCCTCTTTGGGATATATTCCCAGGAGTGGTATTGTTTGGTCAAATGGAAGCTCAATTTCTAATTTTTTAAGAATCGTCCATACTGTTTTCCAAAAGGGCTGAAGCAGTTGGCAATCCCACCAGCAGTGAAGGAGGGTCCCTTTCTCACGACACCACGCCAACACCACTTGCTTTTGTTCTTTTGGGTGTGGGCCAGTCTCTGTGGTGTGAGATGATATCTCATTGTTTTTTGATTTGCATCTCCCTGATGCATCTTCTCATGTGTCTTTTTGCCATTCATATTTCTTCTTTGAGAAAGTTTCTGTTCATTTTGTTGCCCCCATTTTTGATGATATGATACTATAATTAGAGAACCATAAAACCTCTACCAAGAAACTCCTAGAAACAATAGACTTGTATAGTAAATTTGCAGGCTATAAAATCAATACCCAAAAGTCCATGGCTTTCCTATAGGCAAATGAGAGAGAAGAAAGTGACGTGAGAAAAACAATCCCCTTCACAATTGTGCCCCAGAAAATCAAGTACCTAGGATTCAGCTTAACTAAGGACATAAAAGACCTGTACAAAGAAAACTGCAAAACGCTAATTCAGGAAATAAAAGAGGATATGAGGAAATGGAAAGATATCCCCTGCTGGTGGATTGGGAGAATTAACATTGTCAAAATGGCAATACTTCCCAAATACTTACAACAACTGCTAACAGACCTTAAGAAGGACATTACAAGCAACACAATAGTAGTTGGAGACTTCAACACCGCCTTATCACTCCTGGATAGGTCAAGAAGATGAACAATGGGAGGGCCTTTACTTTACTTTACTTTTACTTCATGTTGGTGTGGTGATATGGAGACTGAGATGTTACCAAAGATTTCTGGGTATGGATAATTTGCCTGGGGCTGTGTGAGTGTCCCCCATCCGCAAACTAGGCCACTCCTTCCTCTGCAGAGGCCATGCCCACTTCTGCAGAGGCCACACCCTTACGGGTACCTGGTGGGGGGCCTACAGAACTGGGAGAGGGAGAAAACTGGGCACAGCGTTGGGGAAGAAAAGGAAGGGGCTCAGGGATGGTGGGTGCGTCAGGGTCCCAGAGGACTCCTGGGGCATGTGCGCAGGGGAGGCGGAGTCCCAGGTTTGAATATTGATTGACCTGGGAGAAGGAGAAAACTGGGCGGTATATCACAATTTCTTTACCCAGTAGTTTCACATGCTTGTTTCCAGACCTTGGCTGCTATGTAAATAGTGCTACAGAGAACATAAAGGGCACAAATGTCTTTTAGAAATAGTATTTTGAAGTTTAGTTATATGAGCTTTCACTTATTTATTTTGGATTTTGCTCCTTTTGTTTTCAGTATAAGTCCAAAATAAATCATCTATATGACAGAAAGAAAGAAAGAAAGAAAGAAAGAAAGAAAGAAAGAAAGAAAGAAAGAAGAGTATTTTGAGGCCCTTCAAACAGATTCCAGAAATTGGAATTGCTGGGTCATATGCAAGCTCAATCCTCAAGCTTTTTAGTGCCTTCCATATTGTTATATAAACAGGTTGAGCCAGTTAACATTTCCAAACACAGCAAATAAGGGTTCCTTTGTCCCCACATTCATGCCAACACTAGTTGTTTTAGTTCTTTTTTATGTGTGAGGATCTCATTATTATTTTGGTTTGCATTTTCCTGATGATGAAGAGCATATTGTATTATATCTATTGGCTATCTGTTACTCTTCTTAGGAAGACTCTGCTCAGCTCTTCTACTCATTTTTTGGTATTGTTTGTTTTTTAGTTACTGGTGATGATCTTGGGCTGGAGTGATAGCACAGCAGATAGGGCATCTGCCTTGCATGCAGCCGACCTAGGCCAACCCCGGTTCGATTCCTCCATCCCTCTTAGAGAGCCCGGCAAACTACCGAGAGTATTGTGCCCGCATGACAGAGCATGGCAAGCTACCTGTGACATATTCGATATGCCAAAAACAGCAATAATAAATCTCACAATAGAGATGTTACTGGTGCCCACTCGAGCAAATTGATGGACAATGGGAGGACAGTGACAGGTGATGATCTTATGGAGAAAAATAATTTGTAATTAAGTATGTTATTGTAGTCTGAAGCAAAGAGGACACAGCCAAGTTATATTCTATAAAGAGAATGTTTAAATACTAATAAACTATTAATTGTTATTTTTTTCCTTTTTTCTTCCCCTTTTGTCTTGTTATGGTTTGTCATGCCAAGGTTCAAACCTAAATCCTAGATAGGCAAGATCCTCTACCACTGTGCCACAGTGCTGGCTCGTGAGATACTAATTTCTAAGATCTGACTGTTTTTTAAGTTGGAACATATGTTTTCAGACTAGGTTTTAAACGATTAAAGGAATAATATCAAAAAAACCCTTTTCTCTTCAATTTGCTATTAATGTATTTGAATTTATCCTGTTTTCAGTAAAGAGCCTTTTGGAGCAGAGGATATATATTTCTTCCATCAAACTTGTGGATTTTTCTATCTTTTCTATAAATATTTTAGGTATCAATTCCCTCTCTCTTTCTGGCTCTAAATAACATGAATACTAAATCTTTTGGAGATGAGGGACCACATCTGGTGGTGGTCAGTGCTTAAATCATGGACCACTCTGGAGAGTGGTGCTCGGGGATCATATGTAGTGCTAGGGATCAACCCAGATCAGCTGCATACAAAGCAAGCATACTACTTTATCATTATTATAACCCTAAATCATTTGCTAATGTCCCTTAGGATCTTTTATTTTTCTTTCACCTGTTTTATATTGATCATTTTTAATGATTTCCTGTCAATTTCACTAACTCTTTACTATATACTTAAGCCCATGCAATACATTAAAAATTGTTTGGTTTTGGACCTCATCTGGCTGTGATCAGGACTTACTCTTGGCTCTTTGCTCAGGGGTCACTCTTCATGAAGCTTGAGGGACCATATAGGGTGCTGGAGATTGAATCTGGGACAGCCAAATTAGGACAAGCATCTTACACGCTGTAGTGACTCCCTTGCCCCATAATTTTTATATTTTTAAATTACAATATGTTAGTTTTATAATTCATATTTCTCTGTACCTACTTATTAACTAATTAATTAATTGGTCTGGAGCGATAACACAGCGGGTAGGGCATTTGTCTTGCACAGAGCTGACCCAGGTTCAATTCCTCCTCCCTTCTCAGAGAGCCCGGCAAGCTACTGAGAGTATGCCCCCTGCACAGCAAAGCCTGGCAAGCTCCCCGTAACATATTCGATATGTCAAAAACAGTAACAATAAGTCTCACAATGGAGACGTTACTGGTGCCCGCTTGAGCAAATCGATGAACAACAGGAGGACAGTGACAGTGACAGTGACATTAATTATTCAACTATTTACTTTGACTTCAGAAGAGGCTTTAAAGTCTTTGGTGATTCCAACCTTCTGGATCATTTTGCGATTAGCCTGTGTTTATTTTCACATTTGAGAATTGGTCCCATTTTCCTGGTTCTTTAATGACAATTTTGTATTACGGGCCAAGTGGTATATGGGCCAAATAGTATATTGTGAGACCTGGACACTGTTATCATTTGGAAAAGGTTGATTCTATTTTAGTTTAACAAAGAGTTAACCAGTTAAGTTTGTGCTAAAAAGGCTGTCTCATCTTCTGTATGGGATGCACTTCCCATTCTCAAGATTTTCTGATTGGAAAATATCTACTGTAGAGGCATACTGGGGGCAGGGGTGGAAGGAGGAAAACTGGGGACATTTGTGATAGGAAGTGTACATTGGTGAAGGGACAGGTGTTGTAACATTGTGTGACTGAAACCCACTCATGAACAACTGATTTAGTAAAAAAAATTTAAATAAAATTTTAAAAAGAATTATAATGGGTCTAAAATACAGCGAACAAGAAATATCATAGGATACAAGAGTTCAATAGAAAAAATGGTCTCACTGTAATTCATTATCATGATATTCACTATAATATTTATTACATGAAACATGTTATTATGCAATATATAATACAGTTAAAATATATCTAGTCTTTATTTAAGGGTTAAATTAATATCTTTATTAAGTCCTCACAGTTAATTTAGCATGTGAGGTAGTCACAGCTTATTATTTTTCATACATGTCTAACAAAAAGAGAGAGAAAGAAATAGAGACAGAGAAGGAAAAAAATAAGTTTAAAATATTTTTTCTGATTGGGTCTCCCCTATATGCTCAGTTCTGTAGTGAACTGTTGATTTCTTTCAGTTCTCACACTTACTAGGTGAGCACCATGCCCAGTATCACAGCTCAGGAATTCCCTCTATCAGTGTTCTCTGACTACAACTTGTCTGTTCCGTTGTTAATAATTTTGTATATAGAGCTGTCCTTTGAAAAACTGAGGAAGATAAGATATCAAAAAATAAGAGTGAATTTACACACACAGAAATATAGTTTTAGAACTATAATTGTCCTTTGCCCTGACATGCTACAGAAATACAATATGTCTCACAGAGTTTGAAAATCACCATATAGCCACAGTGGGCTTCTGCAATTGTAATTACCTTGGTCAGGCCTGGAATGAAAAATGAAAAACAATATGGGAAATAGTGAGGATCCCCTGACATGCTCTTAAAGCTCCTCAGGTCCCTTTGCTCATTCCTCTGGCCACAGATACTGGAATTCTCAGAGAAATTTGCTATCTGTGCCCCCTGTGATGTAGCACTGTAGCACTGTCCTCCCATTGCTCATCAATTTGCTCTAGAGGGCACCAGTAATGTCTCCATTGTGAGACTTGTTAGTACTATTTTTGGTATATCGAATACGCCATGGGGAGCTTGCCAGGCTCTGCCATGCGGGTGGGATACACTTGGTAGCTTGCCAGGCTCTCTGAGAGGGATAGACGAATTGAACCTGGGTCAGCCACATGCAAGGCAAATGCCCTACCTGCTGTGCAGATATGCCACCCCTGGGTCAAAGTTGAGAAAGATAGAAGGGAAATTCCAAGCAGAGCAGGATGGGAAACTCTTTCCTGTACAGCTTGATGCTTTTAGCTTTATTCCTGTCTCCAGTCTGCCTTCCATTGGATGTGTTTCATGTCAGTGTATTTTTCTATTTGTGGTGTTTTTCATTGTACATCAGTGAAGAGATTGGTTCCAGCAAGCTAACTTCTCCTTAAGTATCACAGCATTCCACAGTCATATGAACTCCAATTTATAATTTTTCCCCCAAAACAGAGCCTCCCTAATCAAGGGCATGACCAGGATAAAGGTGATTAACAGAAAGAAGATATATGTCAGAATCCCACCTGAGACTCAGGTCATTCTGTTGTCTTTTTGGTTATTGATTCCATTTGTTTCCTTCCCAGGTTTCTGTGGGATGGTCCTTAACCCTAATAAAGGAACACATCAAATGAAGATTGGTCCCATTATCTTCCAGGTGTCCACTGGAGATATCACCAAGGAAGAGGCCGATGTGATTGTAAATTCAACATCAGGCACATTTAATCTCAAAACAGGTGCTTTGCTTCTAGGAGTTTGACTGGTGCAATAGTCACCATAAATCTTTGAAAAGGAATTCCTTTAGCCAAATTTATCCTAAAGTGGTTTCTACAGCTTTAGTTTACTACATATTAATTAATTAATAATTTGAATAATTTTAGCATGGTTTCTTATTTTTTCTCATGTTATTTTTATTGATTTTAATATTCATACTGATTTTTCTCATATTGATTTTATCAGTTTTCCTCTATTATTACAAATATACATATATTAGGGTTTCTAATAACAACAAAGGCATTAAAATAATAAAGCACTGTGGCCAGAACGATAGCACAGCTGTAGGGCGTTTGCCTTGCACACGGCCAACCTGGGTTCAATCCCCGGCATCCCATATGGTGCCCCAAACACCACCGGGAGTAATTCCTGAGTGCAGAGCCAGGAATAACCCCTGAGCATCGCTGGGTGTGACCCAAAAAGCAAAAAAAAATTATAATAAAGCACTTACTTATTATGTGATCTCAGTGATTTTTTTTTAACTCATGTTTATAACCATCTTGTTTTTTTCTTGTAGGTGTCTCCAAAGCAATTTTGGAAAGTGCTGGAAAAGAGGTGGAAATGCAATGTTCTCTTCAAGGTGAGGTACAGTGCTATTTGGGATACTAAATTGTGAGCAGATGCTGAATTTGGGAGGCTGTGGAGAGTCTGGGGAAAGAGTTTGGAATGGAGCAACAATGTATTCATCTTAAAAATTATAAATTTTACTAAATAATTCCAATAAGCATTGAAACAAAAAATAAACTGACAATCAAAACAAGAAGATAAGCAAAATATTTATAAAGGTAGTATTTCATAAATCTCATTCCTATTCTTTGCTTTATTTGCCAAAGTAGATCTTTTTAATGCAATCAAAGAATATATCTCTAATTTTGTGCTTTTGTGTGTGTGATTCCCAGCTCGGAAGAGCAATAGTGATTTTATTGTTACTGAAGGTGGATTGTTGAGATGTAAGAATATAGTTCATGTCATTGGTGGAAAAGATGTCAAGAGTTCAGTTTCCTGTGTTATGCAAGAATGTGAAAAACGAAATTATTCCTCCATTTGCCTCCCCGCTATTGGAACAGGTATGTAGACTGGGTATCAAGGCTAAATCCCAAGCACCTACTTTCCCTAAGATCTGGTGCTGTTGACCTTGATGATGCTGAGCCAGAGAGAGCTCAATTTCTTTATCCCAGGGCAGTCTTCAAGGTGGTGCACAGCATACATGGTTCAAGTACAAGAGGAAAACATGAAGAAAATTGAAGCGTGTAGATTCTACACTAATACTGAAGGGGAGTGAGAGAGGGGGAGAAGGGAAAAGAGAGAAAATCTCTTTCATATTTCATGAATTCCATTCTCTTTTTTTCCAGTCCCCTACAAATTCCCCGTCTTGAATTTTCCTTCCTCTCTCCCTTCTCCACAGTATATATATTCCCATCTCTCTTAGCTGACTGAAGGAGCACTTTTCAGCTGTTCTCTCACCTCTCCAACAGTGGGCTCTGTAGTGGGCCCCAGGTCTTTTCTGTACAGAAGCCTCTCAGTTATCAGAACCCTATAGGTTCTAAGCACTAAGGTTTGACTTTTTGAGAGTATTCCCTAGGAAGATGAGTCATGTTTATGATGAGGCAGTCTTACTTGGTCCACCTTGGGGAGCTCTCTCAGAAGGCAAACCATCTCAGGCCTGAAATGGAATCATGGTGATTAGTCTCAGAATTTGTCTGAGATAATGCATTCTCAGTACTGTATTGATAGTTCCATTGCTCAGCAAACTACGTATTAGTCCTCTCACTTTTATTCTCTAAGCTCCAACAACTTAACCTTAATAATTGTAGTCTTCACATTTGGGTCCTCCTTCTACAAATCCATGATATTTTTTTAATTGCTGCTGCAGTTTTCTACCATTCATCAAAATATCCTTCATGACTGGAACAATAGCACAGCGGGTAGGGCGTTTGCCTTGCACGCAGATGACCCGGGTTCAATTCCTCCATCCCTCTCAGAGAGCCCAGCAAGCTACTGAGAGTATCCCACACACACGGCAGAACCTGGCATGCTCCCAGTGGCATATTTGATATACTAAAAACAGTAACAATTCTCACAATGGAGATGTTACTGGTGCCCACCCAAGCAAATCAATGAACAACAGGAGGACAGTGCTACCCTTCACGGACTACTATACTCACATAATAGTTTTCTATGTGAAAGATAATTTATAGTACCTTTCTGTTTTCATCCCTTATATTAGTCATCCAAACTTAGCACATTAGCCAATGCAGTTATCTACCCACCTATAATATCTATCTCTTAATTGGAAAGCCAGTAATAACTCTTCAGATTCTGTCTCTGCATGCTTTCTATTCTGAGATCTTTTCATATATTTCTATCTTTAATTGTATTTTGATCAAGAAACAGATAGCCTAGATATGTCACAGACCTTCCCAAAAGAATCTTCAGATGGAATTAAGGATGGATGAGGAGGAGGGCTCAAGGTGCAGTGAAATTGTACTCTAATGAGTCACACAGGGTATAAAAACACAGAAGCAATCAAAGAATTCTACAAGCATTCTCACAGAAGTCCACAAAAATAGCAGACAAACAGCTCTTGAAGAGTTTTCACAGGAAAAGCATTCAGACATTGCACAACTCAAGCTCCAGGCTTAGGAGAAAAAAACTGCAACAAGTGAAAGCAGTGTCATAGGGAATAGAAAAGCCCCCAGAGAAAATAGTAAACTGTGAATTCACCCACAGTGTTTTTGAATCTCTACTCACAGAATGCCTTGAGAGGGAGACTGGATGTTAGGCTGATAATTTCAGTTGTGAGTACAGCTTCAGAAACAAGAAAGAAATCAACCCACCGTCATGCCAAAGCTATAAGTAGCTTCAGGTGAAGTCAAAGACCATACCACCTCCCAAAATGAATCTCAGAGCAAGCATATATGTAGTCTCCAAAAGAGTCTATTCTGGAAAGAAGAAAAAATGGTTCTGATATTCTAGCGGCTCTAACCCAAAGATTGAATAGGGCAAAAATAAGACAGTAGGGTCTGGAAAGAAAGATGGCGGCCGCACGGGAGCCTTGTGGAAAGCGGGTTTGAGCCGGGCTCGGGGGGGGAGCAGCGGGGACCTCATGGGAAGGGGGGCTTTGTGGGCCGTCCCCCACGCCCCACCGGGGTCGCCAGCTGCCCCCCACGAGCGGCTCTCCGGCACGGCCACGGCCCCGGAGGCACAAGGACTTAGCACAGAGAACCAGCCGCTTGGAGCAGAAAAGCAAATGGACTTGTGTTGATCCGCGCCACCAAGCCTGCCCGGAGGGGGAAGGGCGTTGACCAGCCCGCCCGTTCCTCTCTGGAAAGAAAGATGGCGGCCGCACGGGAGCCTTGTGGAAAGCGGGTTTGAGCCGGGCTCGGGGGGGGAGCAGCGGGGACCTCATGGGAAGGGGGGCTTTGTGGGCCGTCCCCCACGCCCCACCGGGGTCGCCAGCTGCCCCCCACGAGCGGCTCTCCGGCACGGCCACGGCCCCGGAGGCACAAGGACTTAGCACAGAGAACCAGCCGCTTGGAGCAGAAAAGCAAATGGACTTGTGTTGATCCGCGCCACCAAGCCTGCCCGGAGGGGGAAGGGCGTTGACCAGCCCGCCCGTTCCTCTCTGGAAAGAAAGATGGCGGCCGCACGGGAGCCTTGTGGAAAGCGGGTTTGAGCCGGGCTCGGGGGGGGAGCAGCGGGGACCTCATGGGAAGGGGGGCTTTGTGGGCCGTCCCCCACGCCCCACCGGGGTCGCCAGCTGCCCCCCACGAGCGGCTCTCCGGCACGGCCACGGCCCCGGAGGCACAAGGACTTAGCACAGAGAACCAGCCGCTTGGAGCAGAAAAGCAAATGGACTTGTGTTGATCCGCGCCACCAAGCCTGCCCGGAGGGGGAAGGGCGTTGACCAGCCCGCCCGTTCCTCTCTGGAAAGAAAGATGGCGGCCGCACGGGAGCCTTGTGGAAAGCGGGTTTGAGCCGGGCTCGGGGGGGGAGCAGCGGGGACCTCATGGGAAGGGGGGCTTTGTGGGCCGTCCCCCACGCCCCACCGGGGTCGCCAGCTGCCCCCCACGAGCGGCTCTCCGGCACGGCCACGACTCCAGGACACAGAAACCAATCTCTTAACTAGCTAACTTTTAATAGAAATTCTTCCAGGGTCAATAAGTAAAATAGCAGAAATTCAAAACCGCGCGGCCGCTATTGCGGCCGCGCGACATCATTTTATTCTTAAACCAAGTTGTAGAAAGCAAATCATTTCACAACGCTGTTTCAGCATGTCTGATTGGGGGGGGGGGGGTGGGTCGTAAACTCTTAACAATAATTGTGCATCTTCTATCGAAATAATCTATCTAGTCAAAGTAGATAGAGTATTAACTAGAACTCATCTACCTCACAAGAATTGGGAGGGGTGGGAGGTGGGGGTCTATTGGGGTTCGGGGTTAAAAATGAGTATTGGTAAAGGGAAATGTGTTCGGTATCTACATGACTGAGACCTAAACCCGAAAGCTCTGTAACTTTTCCCACAGTGATTCAATAAATAAATAAATTATAAAAAAAAAAAAAATAAGACAGTAGGAACTGTGATAGCAGGAAAACATTGCTGATTTGCTTGAAAACCTTCCATTGCTACCCAACCTTCACAAAATCAGACCCTCTCCTCTAGCTTCCCTGCAAATTAGACACAATGAAGAATAGGAGGGGCTCACAAAAAAACCAACAGTCAAAATCAATGGTCCAAAAAGATGCTCTAGTACCTACCAGCTCTACAACTTCTCAGATGATGTCAAACTGACCATGGTGAGAAACTGACCATTGTTCATTAAACAATACAACAGATCTCCCAACAAAGAAAAAGTACTCAAGACAGTATGGGAAAACTATAATTAGTTTTATACTAATTATAAAACTTACTGGCAAATGCAAAAATTTCCTCTTAGTTACAAATATAAGTTTACCAAAAAACCACTATTGGGCACACATCACCACAATCTAAAGTTACTGTTCAAGTCAGGTGAACTGTGATGTCACATCAACTGCAGGACACCAGAAATTGTAAACCCTGGACCAGGTCCAGGCCAGCTAGTTTTTTGGTGTCCTAGTAACTACAGGGCACTGATGTCAAAAGTCACCTGTTGTCATCTAGGTATGCACGAATCATAAATGCTTACATGATCAAATATCAGTTTTATCTTGTAAGTATCTAATATGTTCTAACAAGTCATTCACGGCTGCAAGAAATCAGTAGACATATGGGCCCTCATCTAGTATCATGGCAGGAACTACCAGATTATTTCTTATAATACCTGAAACTGGAGCTTCAATTTCAGATTCCACAAAGCAGCAGGAATAATGGGGGTGGGGAAATAATAAAATTCAGCTTCATCAATGGGTGGAACAGATACCCAGGAAAGTCCTCAAATACACCAGAACTGTCCAGATGCCTGAGAATGAATTGACAGCAAGAACACTCCTGTGTTTACTGAGCTGAGGAAATAACCTGAAGAGAGGATCAATTCACTTTAATAATGAAATGAATTATTATTAATAAATAAATAAAGACATTCTATCAGAAATAAAAGTATCTAAAGAATATATTGGGACTCAGCAGCAGAATGGAAAAAAACTGAAAATCAAATTAATGACCTTAAAAAAAGGCACATAACATCCTCAATAGAGAAGTAGTAATATAAAAGACATTTTTTAAAAATTGAATTACCATGAGATACACAGGGAAAGACATCTCTAGTGAGGAAATGTTAACATATTTAACATATTTAATGGATTGAGAAGGACACCCGAAGAACTCCTCATCAGAACCAGTGGCGTAGAATGGAATAAATAGGGTGAGAGACTGTCTGAGTTCATCATGTCGACCAAGACCATCCCTGGTAACTCACAGTTCCAGAAGGCTGAATCTAAACGTTGGACATGGGAGTCTCTCAGTGGACAGTTCCACAATAAAATTGACCATATCATATTCAATCGACGGTTTTGCCTGACTGATGTCATTGTCCCAAAATTCCAAACAGGATTGGACCTCCGTCTCCTTCATATAAAATTCTACTTC